CTCTCTCTCTCTCTCTCTCTCTCTCTCTCCCTCTCTCTGTTTTCCTCTCCATTTTATCTCTCCACATGTCTTGTTCTTTGACTCCATCTCATTCTCTCTCTCCTGTCTACTTTTTAATCATTTTATATCTCTCTCAATCTCTGTCTCTCATTCGCTCTTTTTCTATCTCCTTTTCTCCTCTCCTATTCTCCCTTTTCTCCATTATCTCTGTCTTCCTCTTTGCTGTTCTCTATCCCTCTTTCTTTTTTTCTCTTTTTCTCTCTCCAGTTTCCTATCATTCATATCCCTCATTCTTTGTTTTTGTCAATCCCCCTCCTTTTTGCTCTCTTTATTTCTCTCTGTCCTCCCTGTGTGTCTTGTTATTATCATTATCAGACATGTTGTGGTCAGACAAAAACAGCCCCTTTCATACGCACACACACGCGACCTGCTCGGTGTCGTTGGTGGGCTCTGGCTGTGGTTCATCTTGCCTCAGGTTAAGCCCACCCACAGAGACACAATAACACCACTGTTGACAATAACAACATCAACAACAACAACAACAACAAGTAAAAAGTCACTGAAGCTGCTGCAGCAGTTCAGTGCTCCTTTCTGGCCTTCAGTCTCTCTGAGATTCACGCTGTGGAGGTTTCTGAACTGAACACTCTGAGTCTTCATCAGCGGTCAGATTCCTGCAAGCCTGGACAGACAGTGACCCAGCATTCTGTTCACCCACATCACTGAGCTTCAACACACGCTTCATCACTGACCTCTCTACATTCTGCCTCTCTCTCTCTCTCTCTCTCTCTCTCTCACCTATCTCCATTTCTTTCTCTCATACTATTTTTCCTCTCTCTGTCTACTTTTTATCACTCCATCTGTCTCTCTTTTATTCTCTGTCCATTTTTCTATCCTTCCATCTGCTTCTCTCGCTCTCGCTCTCCATTTTCCTTTTGATCTCTCTATTTCTCTCTCTTGCTATTTGTCTTTTTCTTCCTTTCTCCACTATCCACTTTTTTTATCACTCCATCTGCCTCTCTCTCTCTGACAACTTTTCTGTCACTCTGTCACACTCTGTCCATTTTTCTGTCCTTCCATCTGCTTCTTTCACTTTCATCTTTCCTTTCACTTGGTCTTTCTCTCTTTTCTCTCTCTCTCCATGTCTCTTTTTCTCCCTCTCTCTCTCTTTCTCTCTTTGTGTCCACTTTTCTATCACTCGGTCTGTCTCTCTATTCGTTCTCTGTCCAACTGCTTCTTTCATTCTCCACTTTTCTTTTGATCTCTCTCTGTCCCTGCTTTCTATGTCATTTTCTCTTGCTATGTGTCTCTTCCTCTTTCTTCCTCTCTCTGTCCACTTTTCCATCACTTCATCTGTCTCTCTGTCATTCTCTGTCCATTTTTTATTACTTTCATCTGCTTCTCTCTCTCTCTCTCTCTCTCTCTCTCTCTCTCTCTCTCTCTCTCTCTCTCTCTCTCTCTCGCTCTCTCTCTCTCTCTCCCCATACCTCTGGATACACACACCCCAGCCCAGGACACACACTCTGCGAGTACGCGTCGTCTGCACAATTAGCCAGGAAGCAACGTATAAAACATTAAACATGCTTTGTGCCGACGACAATCAAAACATTTCATTTGTTGTCAATTATTCATTACTTTGAAGGTTCAGAAGGGGTCATTAATATGGAAATCAGCGCAGATGCTAACAAGGTTAGAGTATCTGATTTGGGAGAGAGATCATTGAAGCACATTAAAAGCTGTTTCTGTTCTGACGCACTTCTTTCTTTCTTTTTTCTTTTTTTATTTCTTATTTTTCTCTCGTTTTTCCACTCACTGTTCCATCTCACAATAGTGCTTTTTCGCTCTTTCTTCTTCGCTCTCTGGTATTCATGAAGCGTTTAATAAGTGTTTAATAAATGGTTGAAAACAGCTCTTTCATCCTCTGCTCTGTGAATGTCAAAAGGCTTTGATGGAATTCTTTGATAAGTGGAAGCTGCAGTCTATTGTCCATTCAGGCCAGTGTGAAAGAGGACCTGAGAGACACACAGGAGGGACGCGGGGCTGTTTTTCTGACCATGCTGTGGATGTAAAGGACTTATATAGCTTGTACAAGATGCAGCTTAGGCTTTAAGTACTTATTGAGAGTTAGTCAACAATGTCAATGATTTAAGAACAAACATGTTTTATAACAACTACAATGTTCAGATGATACAATATGGTACACATGGTCATACATCAGTGCACTACGGCTAATGGCTATGTCTATGGCTAATGTATTATCACTGTCCAAAAGAATGAGTATCCTCATATTATTCGATTTTTATTTCTCACCTACACTGGAGCACAGAGGCTGTCCTTGATGTTGTGTGAAAATTTCCTGATGAATAGACTAACAGAAATGCAGCAAACTTGCCAGGAAAAAGATGTCTTTACATTAGCTCTCATTAAAGGTAAGACTCGCCTCACAGCAAGAAGGGCCTGGGTTTGATTCCCCAGCTGGGCGACCAGGGTCCTTTCTGTGTGGAGTCTGCATGTCCTCCTTGTGTCTGCATGGGTTTCCTCCAGGTTCTCCAGTTTCCTTCCACTCCAAAGTGGAATGCAGTCAGGCCAACTGGACACGCTAAATTGCCCCTAGGTGTGAGTATATATGTCTGTCTGTATGCCCTGCAATGGACTGGTGACCTGTCCAGGGTGTATCCTTCCTTCCACCCAATGACTGCTCCAGCTCCCCCATGACCCGGAAGGATAAGCGGCTTAGAAGGGATGTGTGTGTGATACTGGGACCTAATTTCTTCTTTTGAATACACAAACAGTGATGCTTTGTTGTTTAATCTAAAATAAAATTGATTTTAATTTGTTTTTAATTTCCTTTTTACAGTTACAGTGATTGATTTTTTTTTTTAACCACAACCATTTTTTCACAACTTTTATTTTTACAACATTTATACCATTGTCAGCCTAATATTAACATTTTATTTTGACAAATGAAAAAAATCTTATGAAAATATTTACAGAGACATAAGTTTAGCTAGTTTTAGGTAGTGTTTTTTTTTTTTTAAACAAAAAGTTCTGCCCCACCACTTTTGAAGGTGTTCGTGAAGCTTGCTTGCTTCTTTAGCTTTGCACTGGAGCTATGAAGCTAATGTAGCTAACAAGTAATGGAAGCATATAGCCATCGGTTTAGCGCTGCGAGAAACTGCCTAACTATATCATCAACTACTTGCTTTAAACTGCATTGAACATTTAAGTAATCTCAAATAAAACGTATGCCCTCCCTGCCAAAACACTATGATTATTCACCATCATTGTTATTATGCTGATGGTTACATGCAGTGTAAAAGCAGCTTAAGTTGTGAGGTGGAGCCACTGAGGTTCAGACTTGTTGTTCCAGCACATCCCACAGATGCTTGCTCGGATTGAGATCTAGGGAGTTTGAAAGCCAAGGGAATACCTTGAACTCTGGATCATGTTCCTCAAAACCTTCCCGAACAGTGTGTGCAGTGTGGCAGGACACATTATCCTAATGAAAGAGGCCACTGCCATCATGGAATACCTTTGCCATGAAGCGGTGTATGGTCCGCAACCATGTGTGGGTAGGAGGCATGTGCCAAAGCACTGCCCAGAATGCCTGGACCCAAGGCCCTTGTGCACCCATTGTAGGCACTTCTGATGGTGAACAGGGGTTAGCATGGGCACTCTGATTGGTCTGTAGCTACACAGGTCCAAACACAGCAGAGTGTGATGCACCTCCTGTAAACATCATTAAAAATTTCTGTGACTTGTGCTACAGTAGCCCTTCTATAGGTTGGGACTGGACGGGATAACATTTGTTGCCCAACACCCTGTCGCCGGTTTGTGGTTTGTCCCTCCTCGGACCACTGTCTGTAGGTACTCACCACTGCTGACCAGTAGCACCCTACCATCCTTTTCTGAGATGCTCTGACCCAGTCGTTTGCCCGTAGAATTTGACCCTTGTTAAAGTCACTCGGGTCTCCACGCCTGCCTATTTCTCCTACACTCAACACGCTGACTGTGAGAACTGACTGTCCGCTTAATGTGTAGTATATTCCAGAACTTGACACATGCTGTTGTTAGAAGATAATCAATGTTATTCACTTCGTCTGTGAGTAGTCACAATGTTTTGGGTCATCAGTGAACTTTTCTCTAAAAAAATGGACAAAGTTCAGGCACCCAGATGGCTACTACTGTATCAATACACTACCTTATCAATGCATTTTATCATATGTAATACCAAAATGTTCCTTTAAGGTGGTTCTTTGTGTCGGTTTAAATTACTACAGAGTAATGAACTATGAACAAAAACACAATCCCTCCTGATACCTTATGGACAAATCTACTAGTCTCCCTTCATATCTTATTGACATAGCAAAGTCTCTCACCATTAGATATCAGTTTGTTTGACATTCTTAAATTCGGCAGCAAAAATGTTCAGGGAGCATGAATTCCATCTCTCATTTATTTAAAGTAAATTATTTATTTCTGTACACCACCCCACCTTCCCCTCCATAAAAAAGATGAATGTAAATTTTCCTCCCCAGCTGAGGCAAGAGGTCCTCATTACTTTTAAAGAAGGTTAATCCATTTAGCTTCTGCATATTGATATGCCAATTATATCTAATTGTAGAGAAGGCATCAGTCAAGGTAATAGTGCATAAACAGTGAGGGCCGCATTAAGAGCGGGGCATCGTGGGTAACGCCGGCGGTGTTAATTGGGGGAGAGGCACTCGGGGCAGTGAGGTGTGCAGTACCGACGGCGAGACATCACTCATCAGCGCTACCCACAATGCCGTTCATCACCCCATGCTGGGCCGTCTCCGAGGCAGCCAAGAAATGAGAGGAGGGGACAGTGTGACTGATTTATGATGACACCCTGATATCAGTGCTCTTCAATACTGACCTGTCCCTATGAGAATAAAGAACACAAGTGTTATACTGGACACCTACCATTTTCCTTAACTGGTCAGAGAATGGACCAGGTGATGTTTTAGTATGAGTCACTTTTGTTAGACAGTAAGAAGTTTAATAATGATGACAGTTTAATAGAATAAGAACTGATTCAAAAAATAGACTAAATTTCTTGCTGATAGTTCATTGTTGTCCCAAATATCTAAATATCTCAAATAGTCAGCTCATTTTAGCAATAGTGCATCAGTTGTCCTTTTGGGAGATGTTGTCATTTTGTAGTTCTTCTACACAAAGTGTGAAAATCACCTGTAAGTACTAAAGTTTATACATTTATACATTTTATACATTTTCCATCAAGGAAAACTGTCACTAAAACAAAAAAGCACTGAAAAAATGTATTTGTTAACTGAAAAAAACAGCTAAATCATATCTAGAATGTTCAGTGCCATCTATCGTCTACTGTTGTGCTAATGAAGCATTGCCAGTCCCTTCAGAAGGAAACATCAGGGTCCAGTTTGAAATTACATCCTGGTTTCTGACCAAATATTCACCATAATACTAAAAATCCACCAGAGAAAAAGTTGATGAAATAGAAAAATTGATACATATACAGTCATTAAATATGCTTTCATTACATTCTGCTATCACCCATCCACTGTGGTGTTTGCTTCATTGTTAATTAAATTAATCAAGCGCTCTGTGTTGATAGAATCTGTGCCTAAAGGTCTCATTTCAACACCCTCATCATATCTAATGTGCTTATGTTTCACATGAAAATTTGTTCTACAAAAAGAAGATTTCAGATCTGACAGTGTTGTACAATATTAGGCGCTACATCCATGAAATAAAGAGCATACTGTTACTGTCGGACCAAAACCGTGTATCTCTGAAATGGTAACTTCACAGGAGAAGGAAAAATGTTCTTACCCTTCAATGTAAGTTAAGATAAAAATACCTCATTCCAAGTCATTCTGGACTGTTTCTACTGGCCCGTTCATCATGTAATTTTGACACAATGTAAACAGCAGCATTAAAAAAAATAATAATACAAATAATTAAGATACAAGGTTTTGTTCTGACAGTGATGATAGTTATTCTCTTCAGGCTAATAACCTTCATATACCCAGTGAATATTTTTGAAATTCAGTACTTACCATATGAATGCACACTGTAATTTCTCATCATTAATTATACTTTATTGTGATTAGCTTACTTTTCTAACAGGTGTACATCAACCTTATTCCATCATTAATGATATTGTGGAGTTCTTGTAACTTGCTTATGATGAATACCTTCATAGATATGGATGGAAATCCCATATGTAGTTGTAGGCAAAAGTTTGAACACTCCTAGTGAAATACACGTTTGTTCCCTTTTGTAAGTTACAATAAGTTAACACATCCTCTGCAGAGAACACACTTCAATATGCCATTTTTCTGCAAATTTTAGTGCACAAATTCCTAAATTTGATTTATTTGCCTAGTATAACATAAAATACTGCCTTTTGCACAGGATATATTTTATAGTCTTTTTTTTTTGTTTTTGTTAATTTCTGGAAATAAACTGCAACTATGCGTTAAAGTTTGCAGAAGCTCCCTGTTGAGGATGTGTTAACTAATTTGACCAGGGATCGACAAACTTTTGCATACAACGGTATGACATGTAAACTGGACTGTCTGGAGGTATTGTAGGGATACAGTAGCTTAACTGAAATACACAAAGTCTAATATATTGTATATATTAATAATATAATATACTGTGTATAAAATTACACAGTGTAACCAATCCATTGTCATTCATAATTTGCCCTGTACTCCATTAATCGTTGGTCAGTTTCTCTCCACAGGACCAGTGTTGACCGGATATTATTTGAGTAGAGGACAAAGTGTGTGATGCTAATACTGGTGTATGAGTGTTTCTGGGGGCTTTGCACACATCAGTGTCACTACTAGGTTGGTCCACCACCCAAAAAAGTCCAGCAATGAGTGCCTCTGTGGTCAGAAACATACTATTGATAAAGAGCTAAAGAATAGAGAATTAGTGCATCAAAAAAATGGGCTAAAGCTTCTAACTGTACACCAGCATGATGGAGCAACTTGTTACATTCATCACTATCTGAACTTCAGTAGGTCAATCTACAAACAGTGGACAGTTTGCACCCCCACACATTTTGGAATTGTCAACTATTATTTTGCCTATTGGTTGGCATTAAGGCTGATGGTAATAAGGTTGAGGTCTGCAGCTTAAATCAGCCATATGGTGCCCATGTGGTCATGAACAAAGAATATCCCATCATTGTGCATAAATTAATACTTCATCCATGGCTTCCTTTTAAGCTTGGCATTCAATACAAGGCCTTCGTTATGACATTTAAAGCCCTTAATGGCCTGGCTCCCACATATTTTAATGATCTTGTGAGATGTTTAGCCCGTCCAGACTACTTTGCTGAGCTGAGGCAGGCTTACTGCAAGCTAGGATCTCTCACAGCTGAGTTGGTGGAGGCTCATTTTCTTAATGGCACCTAAAACTCTGAAAATGCATGCCATTTTAAAATCCAGATTCAAAACGTATAGCCAGAACTGTAACTATTTGGGCAGTTACTGTTATTTTACCTGTCAACCACAGCATATTGAAGATGAAGTTCTGGAACAACATCTCATGGACAGATGAGACAAAGATCAGCTTGTATCAGAATAATGGGAATTGAAGAGCAGGGAGAAGGGAAACAACTGCTTATGATCCAATGCCTGTCACCTCTTCTTTCAAGCATTCTGGAGGCAGTGTTATGATGTGGGCATGTATATCTGCCAATAGAACTGTTTCCCTTGTATTTGATGATAATGTAGCTGCTGACAAAGGTCAGCAAAATGAATTCTGACGTGTATGGCTATGTTACTGGCTCAGATTCAGCCGAATTCTTCAAAACTCTGGACGGCACTTCACAGCGCAGATGGACAATGAACCAACGCATACTGCAAAAGCAACCCAAGACTTTCTAAGTGGAATATTCTGTAGCTGTCACTTGACCTCAATCCAATCAAACTGAAGGCAAAACTGAAGGTAAAACACCCCAAGAACAAGGAGGAGCTGAAGACAGCTGCAGTAAAGGCCTGGCAGAGCATCACCAGGGAGGCGTCTGGGCGTCTGGTGAGCACCTAAAATGGGGATGATGTAAAAAGTATTATATCAGCAAATATTTAATAAAGCTACAGGGCTCCAGTTTTATGGACATGCCTATCTATAACGAAGAAAAAATTAAAATGGACAAAAAATCTTACAAACTTCTTATTTTACATTCTGCCATGTTCTTTAGCAGATCAACCATTGTTGTTTCCTGAGTCAATCTAATTTTATTATTGTGTGGATTTTATAAATATGCTGACATATTTACTGTAACAAGGCTGACCTAGGGTCTGGGGATGCAAAGAAAGTTTTTTTTACATAAAAAATTTACTCAGTTATTACTGTTGAGTTAAACTTTTCATGGCAAGGAAACTTTAGTGCACTTAAACAGCGCTAATAGGTTTTGAATTTGAAATTTTTCAACAGCAGCATAAACAGACCTGAGGGCCAAAACAATGAGTGTGTTCACATGCACTTAATAATCCGATCACTGCAGAAAATCAGATTTTGTCAGTAATTCGATTAGTGTGTCTATGTGCACTTAATAATCCGATCACTGCAGAAAATCAGATTTTGTCAGTAATTCGATTAGTGTGTTTACATGCATTTGAGTAATCAGATAATGTGAAACTCCAGGTCTACATGAGTCAGGCAGTAATTAGATTTCTGCTTTGCAACCAGCCAATTAACTCACAGAAGACTATTTAAATCCGTTATTTTCTCAAGCATGTATTTGGTTTCAGCGCCGCTCCAAAAGTGTTTTGTTGCGTCTCGCGGCAACACTGCTGGCTTATTTTCGGTACCGCCGTCTGTTTTCGCACATGCGCAGACTGAGAAATCAGAAAGAAATCAGAGTAAGAGTTTACATGCACTGAGAAATCTGATAACTGAGCTAAAATCCGACTCTTCTTATCGGATTTCTTGATCGGATTTCTAGACCTTACTCCAATCTAAGAAATTGGACCATGCTGTTTACACGACCATGTGATTGATCAGATAACTGCAGAAATGTGATTATGATCAGATTATTGACTGCCTGTAAACGCACTCAGTGATCATCAATGTAAATGATCCCTAAATGTATTTATAAAGAAAAAGTTTCTCAGATCTGTAATGATTTTACTATTTAAAATATATGTAAGGGATGCAAATTGTCCTGTTTCCGTTGAATGACTGTAGTGTTATTATGTTTTTGTAAAAATCCTTCAACCAATGCCCAGTGCAGGTCAGTGTGTTACTGGACAGCTCCTTGGTCAGTGGATTGCAGAGTTCAGCCGTGCTGGACATTGTTTGCAGCCAGGGCAGATTCCAGCACAGTGATAAAACGGTGGACGTCGGTGAAGGAGTTGTAGAGAGGAACAGGAGCTACACGCAGCACGCTGGGCTCCCTCATATCACACTGCAACAGGCAACAGATAAACAATCTCATTTCAGTATTTCAGCACAGATATAGTGTTAGTTTGGTTTAGTCTGATTCTAACTATACATTTTGTTTCAAATAACAGCTGATTATTGTCCTTTAGGATAACTTACACGTGGTTCCATGATGCCCTGATTGCTATTCAATCCTGAGTCATGTATAATCACAGGAAACACTATGCAAGTATGTGTGAATGTAAGTGTTTGCGACAGACAGTCAGACAGAGAGTTTGCCGTAAAAGCACTCACAGTGACTCCTCTCTTCTCCAGCTCCTTAAAGACAGCTCGGATGGGCAGGGAGAAAGAGAGGGACAGCTGGCAGCCTCTCTCAGCTGGGTTACTGGGAGTGATGATATGGACGTGGGGCTTATGAGGGTCTGACTTATCCCTGCTGTAGTAGTGCTTGAGAAGGTATTCCAGATAGCCAGTCAATAGGATGGACTTCTTCCTCAGATCCTTCATGGAGGTCTGGTTAAAGATCTAGTGAAGTAAAAGAATGATGCTGTTATTTTTTCAAAATAAATAAAAAAGTCTATAGGAAACATTATAATATAAGTATTGCTATTACTGTTATTAAGTTGGCTGACGTGGGGCCTGTACAGGAATAGTGCGCATGTGCAGGCCTGTAGGAAATTAATGGCAGAAAAGGCAAAACTCTGAAATTCAAAACCAAGAAACACATTAGCAACTGCTTAGGATTGTAAAGCTGTGGCCTATCAACACCTTAGCAACCACCTCAGATTCCATAGCAATAGCCTAGCAACACTTTAGCAACCACTGGGGATTCCATAAGAATGACCTAGCAATACCTTAGCAACCGCCTCATATACCATAGCAGTGGCCTAGCAACACCTTGGCAACCACCTTTAGATAACATAGCAATGACCTAGCAACACTTTAGCAACCACCTGGGATTTCATAGGAATGACCTAGCAATGACCTAGCAACACCTTAACAACAGCCTGGGATTCCAGAGCAGTGGCCTAGCAACACTTTAGCAACCACCTCAGATACCATAGCAATGACCTAGCAACACTTTAGCAACCACCTGGGATTCCATAGGAATGACTTAGCAAAGATCTAGCAACACCTTAACAACAGCCTGGGATTCCAGAGCAGTGGCCTATCAACACCTTAGCAACCACCTGAGACTCCATAGCAATGGCTTAGCAACACCTTAGCAACCACCGGGGATTCCATAGGAATGATCTAGCAATACCTTAGCAATCACCTTGGACACCATAGCAGTGGCCTAGCAACACCTTGGCAACCATCTCAGATACCATAGCAATGACCTAGCAACACCTACGCAACCACCTGGAATTCCTTTGGAATGACCTAGCAACTCCTTAGCAACCACCTCAGATACTGTAATAATAATAATAATAATAAGAAGAAGAAGAAGAAGAAGAAGAAGAAGAAGAGAATAATAATAATAATAATAATTATTATTATTATTATTATTATTATTATTATTATTATTATTGTTGTTGTTGTTGTTGTTATTATAATACTCAAGGTAATATAATAATAATAATAATAATAATAATAATAAGAAAAAGAAGAAGAAGAAGAAGAAGAAGAATTTTAACCAATATTACAGCTGTTTAAAAATTGATTTATTGTCTGTCTTATTAATCTTATTCATCTATGGTTTGGTAAATACATTGAGTAATGTGCATGCATTATACAATTTCCTCACCTCTAGACTGGCCTGTAGGGGGCACACCAGCAAAATGGGTTGATTAGAAAGTCTGTATCCATTCACTCCAGGCTGCAGGTCCATTTCTGTAGAAACATGTGTGCCATCGCAGCCTGCATTAGCAAGGTACTCAGCCAAATGAAGAATATTACTTTGTAATACCATGTTTAACCACATGAGGCCAGCACTACACAAGTTATGTTCCCTGTTGATATGGAGTCTCAGTAGACACTGCCATGAAAACTCAGCTGATGCTTGAAAACTCATTAAGAAGCTGCTCTTGTTATTCAGACTCAATGAAATAAGATTTTGAACAGTAAGCAGCAGAATGCAGAAACATGGAGGTGAACAGAGATAGTGTGTAATGTGTTGTTGTACCATTGGTCATTTGGAATCTAGTGCTCAGTTTGTGCCCCCACCAACCCAACAGACTGAAAGACATAGAGAGAGAGAGAGAGGTTGAATAATTTGTCTCTTTAACACAATGTAGAGCCTTTGAACCATAAGCAGTCTATGAAATTGGCTGTGATTACCACTCACATGGGTTTGACCGTGTCCGTATGTTTCTCATGTACAAACGCTCCTGCCAAACCACCAGCTCCAGAGTTCACATACTGACCACAACACAGAGAAATGACCATACTGAACAGGGATATTAATGAACTGCAGGTAAAACAGCACTGAAAACAATAACAAGATATGATCATACTGAACACATTATGATCTATGCATGTGGGTTCTTGTTACTGTTGTGTTGTTGGACAAGATTTACAGAATGTTTTCTCAGAAATCTTATTGAACATAATGAGAAGCTGAAGTGCACAGTTCAGTTTTTTGTCAAAATACCGGCATGTAAATCAAGATAAATTTCAAATTATATGCAGTGTGTATGTGAGCTGCATTGATTAGCAGTCTTATTATTTGTTTAATGTCCTGTAAGGCTTGCCCAACCTCTACAGTTGACAGAGGAGCACCCTGAAGCATAGCTAGTATACTGACCTTATATGTGCACCAGCAAGCGAAGTCTACTCCCCAGTCATGCAGTCGCAGTTCAGCATTACCCACTGCATGCGCACAATCAAATCCCACATAACAGCCCTAAACACACACACACACGCACACACACACACACACACACACACACACACACACACACACACACACACGCACATGTTAAGGAATAGAAAACACAAAGAGGAAATAAAACACTTCCTAAAAATCATGTTTCCATTGCATTTTTATAGTATTTATAGTGATACAGTCTGCCAGCTCAGCCACTAGAGGGAAACGCTCAAAGGGAAAGTCCACTGATTTTTCAACATTTCTGTATAATTAACTGTATAATTAACTGCTTGAGAGGTAAACAGTCATTCAGAGTGATTCGATGTGAAATAGTTCACTGTAGAGGAACTTTAACCACCCAGGTTTCTTTACAGTGGTGGTGAGTCATGATGTCTACAATGAAAATACAGCCATTTTATTTACTATCCAAAAAAATCAGTGACAAGTAGTTTTATAAATAATATTAATAATAGTAAAATTGTTGTAAATCTGGGAATTTCTTTGACGATGAATGTACATTAAATTAGGACATAAAACATTAACCTCTTTAGATGTCTGGTTCCTGTCACCACCACTGTGCACAATTCTGACTTCTCTATATTGAAGCATTTCACACCAAACCACTCTGAATGACTGTTTAGAATTTAACCATTTAATTATGCAGAAGTAAAAAAATCAGGTGGAGTTCCCCTTTAATGAACTTCATTATCATAGATCGTTATCAGTCAGATAGTATCTCACTATTAGATAAATTAGTATTAGTTGCATTCAGTCAGTTAGGAAAGTTACTCATTTCCGTTTTGATCCTTCCCATTTAGTTACTGGATCCTTTTTAAGGTTTAGTTTCATTCTGTTTTGTTGGCTCAGCTCCTGGCTTTCTGATCTGTTCTTCACATCTGTCACTTTGGAGCTTTAGCATTTTATTTTAGACCAAAAAGATCCCAAAAAGAGAAAACAAACTTCCTGATGCTGATAGATGCTGTATGTATTAGGAGGTTCCTCTGCAGTTTTTTATTCGGGTTGTTTTTTGGTCACTACCTTTACTTTAACTTCAATCATTACTGAGGTAACAACACTTAGACCCCCGCCACCCACCCATTCACCTGCAATCATGTGCAAATGTTTGGGAGACTCCGGTCAAATGGCATGTTCTTTCAAGTTTCTACAGAAAACACACTTTGGCACATTTTAATGCACAAATATTCTTTACACTTTGAAAAAGTAATAGCACATTTCATATTTGATTATATATATATATATATATATGTTATATATATATATATATGTTAAATTCAGCAAATAAATAAAAGATTGTGTTGCTATGGAAAAATGTGATGTTTATTCTCACTCACAAAATCAACAAATCATGTAGCGCTAGGGATCATCAGACTTTTGCATGCAACTGAAAGTCCATATGAGGAAACAGATGGGAGAAACATCAACCTGTCAAGTGTCCAGCGCAGTATTGTGTATGATCTAACCTGGGCCTGGCCTGCTTTGGTGATGACCTCCATATTGAAGAGCTGCCCAGTATAGTACTGGACTCCGCTGAGCATCACCAGAGCGATGGAGTGTCCTTCTCGCTCTATCGTAGACACAATGTCCTCTGTCCTCAGGGTGTCCTCTCCCTAACGTGGACCACAACATATCTCAGTGCAGCATAACAATGTTACAAAGTAAGTGTAGGAGAAAGAGTGGAAAACATCTCTCTTTTTCATCCAGAAACCTGGTGCATTTACTTCAAACTTATACATTTATTTATACTTTTTTCTGGTATGACTATGGAAATATTATGTTATGTAGTTATGAGAATGAAAAAGTGAAGTGTGGCCCCATATACAGGCCCCCACAGTTTCAGTGGTTGAAAATGAAGGTATAAAAACTACATATGTTTACTAAAAGGAAACTAAAGAAGTCAGTGTTTGTAAGATGGTGAAGAGTTACCTCTCTGGGTTTAAGGAGGAGCATGCTTTTGCTGGGGTCAAACCCCCGTAGCCGTATCTGAGATTCCACAGCATACTGTAAAACACAAAGATGTACTTACTTATTATATTTATGAGGGCACATTTTTCATCAAGGGGCTTCTTGACAGCTGCACATCCTTTCGGGCCCAATCCCATTTCACCTCTCACCCCTACCACTCAGCCCTTAGCCCTCCGTTTGCCTAGTTCACGTCTAGTAGTATTGTGTCCCAATTTCTGTAGAGGGGTAGGATGAAGTGTTAGGGCTTCATGGCCCTCCGAACAGAGGTTTTTTTAGAGGCACACTCCAAACAGAGTGTTATGAGAAAAAAAAGAGAAACTGGTGATCGATGCGCGAGTGACCAAAGTTACAACTTACGATAACGATTGTATTATCTTAGTTTAATGTCGTTTCAGTGTATTTTGGTCCTTTTCTTCATAACAAGCAGAGAAATCGCTAGTAGTATGCTAATGTCTCGGTAGCTAGCTATCTAATTTTCCCATTCCACCTTAAATAGTCCAGCAGTACTCACGCTTGAGGCGCCAGAATGTAACAGCTGCTCCATTTAAGGTGGAACAGGAAAATTCAAACAAGAATCTGGTGAATATCTAACTTCAGCTTCATATCACTGAAGAGTTAGGGGTGAGTGATAGTAAATAATATCACCCCCCCACCTTCTTTACAAGCATATGATGCCATAATGTAACTAAAGCCCAGCAGTGATATTGCTGAACTTTACCCTCCTCTGCTGTCACTGCAGACTGGCAGGGTCACCTACAGAGCACCGCTAGTAGCCTGTTAATGAAGTAATGTTCTTCTTTATTTGAGGGTTGTTCTATTTTTTAGGGCAAGGTGACACTTGAAAACAAGGGGTAGGGGTGAAAATAAGAAAAATTGGATTGGGCCATAGTGCTGAGTTGTCTTCTCACAGTGGAAGGATGGAGAGAAACACCTGTGGATTTTTTTTCAGATAATTTTTAGATCATTTGTATGCAAGTGGATTATTATTGATTGTGCATTGCTGAAGAATAAGAAAAAGAAAAAAATGTGTTTCCTGTAGAAAATGCAGTGATTACACAGCTTAAGCTTGCTAAGATGTTGCTATGGTATCCCAAGCAATTGCTATAGTGTTGTTAAGTGGTTGCTATAGTATCCCAGGTGGTTGCTAAATGTTGCTAAGCGGTTGGTACAGTGTCCCAGATGGTTGCTATGGTGTTGCTTGCTGAATAATGTCCTCAATGGCCATTTTGACAGAACACTAATTAAATGAAAGCCAGTTTCTCACTTTTGCACAGTACTGCATATCCATTTTGCATTTATACACTGTGCATTTAGGCTTGTGGTCCAGTTTCCTATGTAACACGTGGGTAGAATGTGTCCAATTTGCACCTGAAACTGATGCAAAAGTCTTAGAACACTGAGCCCACAGTCTTTAACATGTTACCAAACCAGTCCCTGAAATACCAGCATAGGTTTTACTTTGATGCAAGCCTGCCAGCTGAGCTCTTGGTTGCATTTACCACCTAAAACAACAATATCTAACTAGGATATTTGGAGTGCTGGGTGTTAAGACAAAGTGAGAGTTCACAGTTTCACCTACATGGTCAGACGGAAAGGCTTTGTCCTCCAGGAGGATTTTGTGGCGTTTTGCGGTGGGCTGGTAAAAAGCAAGCTGTGGGAGAAAAAAAAAACAAACAGACATAAGTACATACATCATAAGTACATGCCTGACAGCATGTTGTTCACAGATTTACATCTGTAATCTGAACAAATATTTACCATCAGAAGGTGTAGGTTAACTGTCAGGCCATTCATCAAAGCAACTTCCTCTGCTTTAGCACCTTTACATACATACACACACAAAGGCACATGTCTGTGAAAACAGACGTTGCGTTGCTGTGTACAGTAATAGTAAGTGAAGGCTTAAGGTCCACTCTTGTCCACTAGCATGTCTACTGAGTTTCCCTGTAATTCATTAACATTTTGTTTTTGCGATCTTTTACGAAGAAGAGAAGAAGTGATGCCAGTGTACAATGCCAAAATTTCAGCAATTACCCACAAGCTTTGCCATGAGATCCTCTAGATTGTTCTCAGCCCAGGCCCAAGGTCGTGACCCCATTATATGACCATGGGCTCCTCTGTAAACAACCAAGCATTTCAGTTTGAGTTGAGAGGTCCAAGGACATGGACATACTGGCTTACGAACAATGTATAGATAAGACAAATCAATGACTTGTTTTTTGTTTTAATAGTTGCATAGTTACATGAAAGTTGTTAAATAATAAATAATGCAATTATATTAGCCTAAAAATAAATAATACATTTACAAAAGAGCCAAAAACAATGCAGAGTGCATAAAGACTGCTCACGTTTTGGCCCATTTCTCCAACTCCTCGTCAATATACTTTTTCACATTTTTGGGCTGTAGTCCAAGAGAGTTACCCGCAAAGTAAATGCAGTCTTCCGAACCATCCACGAGTGACAGATCAGCTGTAGGAAAGAAAAACAGAAAAAAAAAATGTTAAGTAATGTGCAAAGATCAGAGAACACCCTTCATTTATTAGACTTTCGGCCAAAACAAGCTATTTACAAACCTAAACAAGTTTCTTATTTTTCAGCACAGAAAACTTATTCAATAGAAAATTACACAGAAGCCTCAACAAGTAAATATTATATCACATTTTTCAGTATTTAGTGTATCTAAAGTTTGACTTTTTTACAGCTTCTTTTCTTTTCTGGAGACTCGTTTTCAGTTTTACAAAGAAATCTGCAGGAATGTTCTTCCACACCTCCACAGTTCAGTCTTCGATTATGAAAAGAAGAAAATGCAGTCAACTTATAAGTAGCCCCAAACACATTCAGTGATGTTGAGGTCTAGATGTCTATGGTGGTCAATCCAACTCTCTGTTGTTTCTTCTATTTTGTCTATTTCCTACACTCATAGCAAAAAGCATTCTATATAGTAGTGAAAAATGATTTTTCTTTTCTTCATTACACACTGTTAGAAATAAAGGTTCTGTGGAGGTACATTTTTCCTTTATCAAGGTACAAGCAACGTAAATGTTCCCTCAAAGGTACTACAGTGGTTTTAATGTCCAATTGTTAACTTAAATACATTTTTCCAGGTGAAAAATACATATTTGTACCTTTTCATAACCTAATATTTTAAAACAGAACAATAAAATAAAAAGCCTGGAGATGAGACAAGGTGTGTGGAGTCAACTTAGATTTTTTTTTTTTTTTTTATATATATATAATTTCAATGGATTATGGTACAATTATGTTCCCTGACTAAAGGTGCTGAGATGTACCCTTGAGGGGACCACTCCAGTGACAAGAGGGGTACTGCCCCAGTGACAGTTGACTACCTTTTTTTCTGAGTGTGTGCATTATCAAACAGAACACTAAGCTAGAAAGTGGGCAAAATTCAAACGTAAAATTCAAAAAAGAAACAGAGCCTCTCTTCCTTGCAATTACATATTCTCCTCTACTGCTCATTCTGTGGCAAAATGCCTTTGACCCCAATTGCATTTTCATTTTTATGGTCTTCTCTGCCTGTCAATCATCCCATCAGGGTGGGGCCAACAGCGTGCCTTCTTGAAAAGGCTTTGTTTAATTTATGTTTGAATTTTGGTGTTCTTTTGTTTTTTGTTAAAGCAATTCAAATGCATTCTTAGAGAGTGACAGTGCATATAGGATAAATTACGTATGAATTATCATTTTGACACAATACAAAAAATCCCATCAAGCATGAATATGCAGTTCTGGAAGTTCATTTTGATTGAATTAAAGCTGCTCATAAAGCATATAAATCTTAATGGAAATGAAATGCGAACATACAAAACCATTGCCATTTTACATATTGTGTTTTCATTATAACGCTGATACTGATATGCTTCTATACAATTTCACCACACATTCATTAAATGGTTCTTTGAGTGCTCCTGGTTCTATATAGAACAACTGCTTTAAGAACCCTTAAATAACTATTTTTAGGAGGGTATTTTTTTCAGATCTGAAAGAAAATGGAGCTTAATCTCTCAAAGATGAAAGCTTTTAGTGCTGGTTATCTGATGGGGACAGTTTTGGTGTCTACCAGGTCTTGTTTGGTTGTTAGAAGTCTCATTTTCTCTACATGTTTTCTTTTTTATGTTTTTTTTTTTCTTATTTACAAAATATAACCATTTATGAATTCTAAAAATTTGGATTGTTGTATTATATTATATCCGATCCCCTCCTGAACGTCTCCTAACTTATTGACCATCTTGACAGAAACAATAAATGAATGAAGGGTGGTCTCTGACTTTTGCAAAGTACTGTACCACTTCCACACTGTACACAATGCATCGTAATATAAATGTTAAGTGGTATTAAACGATTGCCTATTGGTACACTTACATGGTGGAAGCCCAGCAACCTTCGGGACAAGGAATTCCTGACGCAGATGTCTCAGCTCGTCATGCTCGTCAAAATATTCAGCCACTTCACGTGATGTAGGGCTGCAGCCCAGGTGTTTAGACACCTTCTCAATGACTTCTCGTGGTGAGCCGACAGCCAGAAGATCCATGTCTAGATTGTAGAGAGAAATGATCAAGATCTTGAGTAACCAGAAAATAAAAGTTTATTAGCAAAGAAGGTAGTGGGAGCTGTAGTCAGTTAGCTTGACCTAAATTTACATAATGCTGACTCGCCTCTTCTAGTGCTTGATTGTTAGTAGCCACATTAGCGAACTGCAAATAATCTCATTGAAACATCGTTTAGCATTTAAAAGTCATTAAGCAATCCACAAAGCAGGTTTAGAGGAATAGAGAAACAGTCTTAGCAAAGCAGCCTTACAACAACAGAGTAGCAGGTATAAAGTTTGAAGGTGAAGGCCTCTTGCAGTGCATAAAGTACTTTAAAATGCACTAGAAAACAACCGCTTTAAAAACATGATATCATTTTGCAGCAGCGTTAAACTCTATATGCTCATCTTCTATTGGCACTGTAATTAGCCTTGTACTTCTCTCTAGAAGGCACTCCACCCTTTTGTCATATTACTTACCTAAGAGAGTATGCTCACCTAGTTTAGGCTAGAAATTGTTCTCAGTCTGGGACGGTGCTCGATTCAGGATCAGTTCCAGACTAAAAAGACTTCATTACACCCCTTGGAAAGTGGCCTTTCACCTCATGTGTCAACAGTGAAGTTAAGCTAATGATTGCCAGACAGATTCATTCAGAAAGCCATAGTAAAGTTGAATAGTCTTTTTGCAGATTTTAATTACAGTTAATGCCTGTATTTTCTTAATTTTATCATAAGCTGTAAAAACATACTGCAGTTTCTACACTAGTATACAAGACAGTGTGGCACTTTAAGTGTGTTTTAGAGTTTTATACAGCATCTCATGTTGTGTTCTGGAAACACATTTACAGCACAGAAATATTTTACTGTATCAAACAACTTATAATAAAACTACTGTAATATAATTGTACCAATATCAAAATACTGCATTTTACAGTAAAACAAGACATTAAAATACTTTTCTACAGCCGCAAAGGATCATTGTCTTTACTGGAAATGTATTTTTGTTTTCCGTTATTTAAATCATATCCAATTTGAAGTGTAAACTTACAGAGTGTTAACATTAGTTAACATTGGCCTTGTTGGCTAGTTAGCTAACACTAGTTAGCTATCTAACACTATGCTAGCTTACCTGGCACAACCTGTATCAATAATTAACAAAAAAGCATGGGGTATTCAATGTGTCCATGCACTTTTTGCCTTTTTTTCTTATGTTGTTATTTAGGAAATGTAGAAGCTTTCACTTTTTTAAAGTATTCTTTTTCTTTGAAAGTATGTACCACTGCTACAATAATGCTAATTTCAGCTAGCTATGAGCTTTAGGTTGTATAGGATTTGCATTGTCATATTAGTGCCACTCTAACGGTGGTGTACATTCACTTTCCCACATTTTTTTTTTTTGTAGTTTAATATTGCAGCTTTAGCTGAAACACTGATTTTGGGGCTTGTAAGACATGCATGTAAAATATTTTTGCTTTGTACATTGCAGTTTTTAGTGAATCATTTAGAATATAATTCTCACTGTACTATTCCAAGAGCTTACCTTACTTTCACACACAAAGAGGTGGAAAGAGGTGATGGCTTATTGGCAACCAACAACATCACATTTAACATGCCTTTTTTTACATATGTTCTGTCATTGTTAGACAAACAAGCCAGCAGGTTGTAGTGGTCATGCACATCTATTTCAGACAGAGATATGCAAACAGCAGTTTATAAACGATAATGTCAATAATGTAATAGATTTCAATTGTAGTAATGTGCTGACATGAGTCAAACATGTAATACAACCCAGGAATGTATTAGCTCCCCCAATAATGTAAAAATTTTGTTATTACTAATGAAATATACCTTATTGGGAATTTTATAATAGCTATTATATTATAGTGACTGTATCCCAAGTACTATAGTGAATTCTGAGACAGGTGTCATAATACATACATACATACAAATCTAGCTATATATGTAGTTTTTTGACTAGTTACCCAATAACACCACTTATTAAAAAACATCTGTTCATCTGGCAGACAAATATTAATACTCAAGTTTATGTACACTAGTGTATCTTCTAGTGCTGTGCAAGAGGTGGCTGCACGAATTAGATTAACCACAGCAACACTTGTTTAAATTATACTACACAATAAACATGCCTACCTCATACCTCACCATGGGTCCTCACCAGGAGTACAATATTTGAAGAAGCTGTAAGAATTCTCCTGTTTTGAGGCTGGAGTTTTAGTCTGTCCTCTTTGAGCTGATAGTGTTGTGTGGATGTGAGCAGCATAGAACGTTCAGCTAATTGACCCTTTCCTAGCAAACAGTAACTGCACAACTAAGAGACTGTATGCACAACAATATTCAATTTTATAGTTTTCTCCAAAGAGGAACTTGATCATGCGACTTGGTCACATGTGGTCTATGAAGAAGTATACCCTGTTAGCATTCAGCTGGAATCTATTGTATGTATGTAGTGTGATGTAATATGTTTAACAGACAATGTCCTTGTTTACCCAAAGGTTAAAGAAATACAAAACAAGCAGCATTAGATTAAATATTACACAGTACAGTTACAAAAAGTACACAGGTCAGAAAATTACCTTTGAAAAAGGAGTCATGGAGTTGATGTTTAGAAGCAACATGTTATAACCAACATGTTATAAGCATATATATATATATATATATATATATATATATATATATATATATATATATACATATATATATATATATATATATATATATATATATATATATATATATATATACATAATATTATAATGTGTGAACATTAGTTAAAATGTTAAAATGTTTCTATTTTAAATTCTTTTCTTTCTAGCAATGAGTACATCAAATCCAATCAAAGGTCATCTGAACATGAGCTTCAATGGAAAAGACTTTTAAATTCTAACCTTTTGTACAATGGCTTTGAGATGGTCTCAAACTTGCTTCCATTTGAATAATGACCTATAAACAACACAGAATTTTGAGCGTTTCTTTTGCACATTCCTTCTTTCTTTCTTAAGTAAAAAAAACAGATTTTCAAAGTATGATGAGGCAGGGAGATTAAAATCAGTTTGAAAGTCTTGGCATGAAAACAGACACAGATATCTCCTGAGAGGACCAAAAAGGAATCAATAAATCATTTGCCCCCAGTAGAAGTTAAAAACATTATGCCATAGCGTTTATAATCTAGTTTATATGCGAGCTGGAAATGATTCCAAGTGTTGAATTCATTTGGTAGCTGTTCATGGGAACTCTCAATATGCCATCCGAAGAGGTGACAATGCAAATGGGGCCATGCTTAGTTCAAGGTTTAGTTTACCAGGTTGATGGTGCAACACAGGAACACAAAGTGCAAAACAATACAATATACTATATAAGATATTAGTGTGTGTCGTGCTGGTACAAGTGGATCAGACACAGCAGTGCTGCTGGAATTTTTAAACACTGTGTCCACTTACTGTCCACTCTATTAGACACTCCTACCTTGTCAGTCCACCTTGTAGATGTAAAGTCAGAGACGATAGCTCATCTGCTGCTGCACAGTTTGTGTTGGTCATCCTCTAGTCCTTCATCAGTGGTCACAGGACACTGCCCACAGGACGCTGTTGGCTGGATATTTTTGGTTGGTGGACTATTCTCAGTCCAGCAGTGACACTGAGATGTTTAAAAACTCCAGCAGCACTGCTGTGTCTGATCCACTCAGACCAGCGCAACAATGGTGATCCACCACCCAAATAGTACATGCTCTGTGTGGGTCCATGGGGGTCCTGACCGCTGAAGAACAGGGTAAAAGGGGGCTAACAAAGTATGCAGAGAAACAGATGGACTACAGTCTGTAATTGTAGAACTACAAAGTGCACCTATATAGTAAGTGGAGCTGATAAAATGGACAATGAGTGCAGAGAGGAAAACATGTGGGAAAGAGTTTTAAATGAATTAATGAGGTGATGGAGTGTGAATGGAGTGATTCTGCACATTGGGGATGAGGGGGCTCAGAGCAGGAAAGGGCAAACAAAGGGGACGCTGAAAACAGGATGCTCAAACAAAGGCTGAGATAGAAAAGTAAAATAAAAGATAATCAGAAAACAAATGACAATATCAGTTTTATGTTTCACCTGTTTGCTCTGTTGTAGATCAATCACTTTTTGTTTGGTTGGGGCTGTTTCTTGTTTAAGCCTTTATTTTGTCTTTTAAATAGTTTTTAGGCAATTTATTCTTTTTTAGGCCTCTTTTTCTTCTTTCTGTGGTTTTGGGCGATGTCTGTTTTCTGCCCTCTTTTCTTTTCTTTTCTTTTCTTTTCTTGAATCACACTGAGTACCATACTGGTCATCCCTCTGCCGTCGCTCCTTGGGAGATCATGTGACCAATGAACTTCAACCAATTGTCGCTCTAAGTCCCCTGAGTACTAATCATCTCACACACGTTTTCTATGCTATGTGACCTGTTTAGTTTATAAGCCCAGGCTTTAGCTTAGCCAAATTGTGAGGTATTGTTTCTCCTGCAGAATTACTGAGCGTTTCCATTGTACTTTTAGTTGTCCTTTTGGTTTATTGGACTCTTTTCTGGATTTCTCGTTATTGTCTTTTGTCTTTGCCATACTGGTTATGATTGCTCTGTTTTGCATTTTTGCTATTTTGCATAGTAGATTCTTGCCAATCCCTTTTTTATTAATGCCTCATCTCTTGGATTTTAGCATGAGCGTCTGACTGGGTCTGTTATGTTACACAAACAGTGATTTAAAAGCAGCGCAACATGTACGATTCATGAAAAAACATAAACTCTAAAATAGTTACTTAGATTGTAGCATTGTGAGGAAATTCATCTTTTTCTTGCATTTATGATGCCCCATGTGAGGTAATATGGTGAATACATCACCTATATAATTAGTTCTACCCATCTTCACCTTACAAGTGCATGGAAACTATTACTTTCTTATACATGAGCAGTATTTCTGCTTCAGGAGTTTCAGTGAAGGAGCTTAGCCTACTTCTTTTGGACAGTAACTGCCTGTGTTATAGCACCGTCTACTGTCTGTGTATAGTGTGGTTGCAATTATTGCCTGAAAAGTGACCACATTTTATATTTTATTTGTATTGTGTAAATCAAAGTCATATAATTATCATAATCAAATGGTCTATTAATGCATTTACTGTGCAGTGACCCATGGTTTCATGGCTATGTATGATTTATAAGATGTAGGAGATCTGAATGTTTATGATGTCTTCTATCCAACTGCAAATGTCCATAAAGTTACTGATTCACTGACTTTCCCTTTATGGCCATTGGCTTGAGGGAAAGCTGGTCACACCCTGAATTTCAGATATATAGGAAAGTTAGATCACAAATGATTTTTGCCTGAAATCTCCACCACAACAGGGACAAGATGGTGAGTAACCTGTCCTACAGTTATTTTTAACTCTCTGTTTTATCATTTTCTCCAGTATTATTAAGTGGTCACCTGTCAGTGTTCACATCTTATATCTTATTTTCTGGTGAAGTTTGTAGCAAAATTGGCAAATTCAGTTAGAACCTAAAACCATACATTGATTTAGGCTTAAAATACAATATATTTGAATGGATAACTGTTTAAATGCTTAAACAATGCTAATGTGAAGACGATTTCTAGCTTTGTTAATTAATATTAAGAGCCATCATCTCCAAAGTCTTTAAAATTCATAGTAAATAAACATCCAAGGCCACAAAATTGCCAGTTTATTTATTGATGTACCAAATCTACATTGGTATTAACCAAACAAATGTGCTCATCGTACTAAATAGTTCACCAGGTAATGGTTAAGCTACAGGTGTATCTCTCAGGATGAGCTAGACTGACCATGGTCAGGGTGATAGGACCAGGTCCAATGTTTCTCAGGTCTGAAGATGGTGGTTTGCATTTCATAAAGAAGCATATGTTCTGTTGAATATGGCTTATCGTCTTTATGTGCTAGTTGGACCTGAGTTGTTCACATAGCACCTAAGCAATATTCAAATGACATTCCACCAATATTTGCACAGTGTTCCCCCTCAGTCTTACTGGCACCTAGCTTGATGCTGTAAACCTTTGCGGTTGATCATTAACATTGGGCTTGGCAGGATAGAGGTGAAATAGTCTACTTTTAAACCGCTGTCAACTCAACTCAGCTCTCAACAATGCCAAGAATTCCATGTCAAAGTCTCAGCCTCCAGTAAAAAGTGATGAAATTTATGGTCTGACAAATAAACTCATTCTCTACTGTCTGTTTGTTAATCAAACAATGTAAATGTACCTTCAAAGGTACAACAATGGTGCTAAGGTCCAACTGAGTATCTAAAGTAGGGTTTTCTTAAGAGAAAGGTATGTTTTTGTACTCTTTCATAATCTAATGTTTTAAAACAGACGAGACAGACGAGACAGGATGGATGGAGTTAATACAGCTTAGAAAATTTAATTGCAAAGGAATTTGGTACAAATGTGCTTTAGTTCATGCTAAATATATTGAGAAATGTATCATCACATACTTCTTTAAATTTTTTATACCATTTCAGAACATCAATTGCTCTTATATATGCTTCATATACATTTGTATGAAGGTTTTGCACAAAGGTTCTTCTCACTCACACACCTCAAGTGTTTCTTTTATAGCATCAGACAACCAACTTAAATAGGGCAAATTTTATTTCTTAATTTCTGCTTATTTGCTGTGTTTAACATATTACATAAAATATAATAAGTACCATAACTTTTGCACAGGCCACATTTTATGTTTATTTTTTTTCCCCAATGTGTTACATTCAGCAAATAAACAGTAATTGTGTATTAAAGTGTGCAGAAGTGTGTTCCCTGTACAGGTTGTGTTCACTCTTTTTCACTTACAAAACATTGAATGTGACCAGGGGAGGCTAACTTTTTTCTCTGTATATTAAAGTTAATAATATATTTTTAATTCTCTAAAGAAGATATGATTTTAGATATTTTATCACAGCAGATTTGTGTCTCCTCATGTCATGTTGGGATTTATTATATGATGATATGAACTACACAGTGTTAAATTACAGTAAATTATGATTTACAACACTGATGCTACACATGATGTAATTTCCTATCTTTCCAAATGGACAGGTGTTTACCATTAAGGACTTGAACTTTGTTGCTGGGCAGGAGCTGGCAGTTGCTGGCAAAGTCAAATCTGGCTGCGATGTGTAAGTATTCACAACTACAGCAGGCCTGATATTAAACTCTTACACTGTGCCAGCAAAACATTCAGCAAAATGTGTAAATACTTTTTGGTAGTAGCCAGTTGTATTTTAGAATTACTACATGCTTCAGTCTTTGAGAGTGGTTTGATGAGAAATGATTCATTGTAGAAAACCTTGTGATGATCATAGCAACCATGGGTTATAATGTCTACAACACAAAGATAGCCATTCTATTTACTATCCAACCCTACATGTATATCTACATGAATGTATGAATGAATGTATATATGTGAATATCCATGAATGTATATATGAATGTACTTTAAAATTAATTTCAGGCCAAGATCATATCACAAAACATATCCTGAAACTGTGCCTGAATCATCAAGCAACCTATAAATTCTATGTAGTAACTTTCAGTAATGTAGCTTTCAAAGCAAGTCAGGTTCGGTTCCTATCACCACCATTTTTAAAAGTTCTGATTCAGCAAGTTTCATCAGAATGACACATTTCACATTAAATCACTCTGAATGACTTTACATTTTTACATTTTTATTTTATAGAAGTTTAAAAAAATAGTTAGAATTTCCATTTAAAGGTGCTGTAAAAATAAATGGACAGGCTGACCATAATGCCATCTAAAAATGGTGGCTCAGATCAGATCTTTGGAATTAATTATTTGTAGACTATTTCTGACAATTTGGAATGTTGACATTAGGAGCCAAATATAACTATGTAAATGTAGTTAAATCACCAATTGCTACTTTACATACTTTTCACTGTAAATGTTCAGTCATATAACACATGCCAGCTCTGCAACATTGGAAGTCTTTTCTAGTAGGACTGTTATCGAAGAGTTCCATACAAATGCATTATAGATTAATTAAAATACATTATATATACTTTCTTTTTTCTGATAAACATTGCTGGGTGTGGGCTTTACGCATACATGAAATATCAGTGCTACATAATGATTAATACCACCTTTATTAGAGAAACAAAAATGTGTTTCTCTTATGCAAGAACTTTTCTTTACAAAAACCTGGGATATTCAAAATTGTTACAGATAGACATACAACAATTTGGAATTGAACTCTTCAGTTATACGTTAGCCATCCTTCATTTGATGTACAGTACCCCAGATTAGCAGTGCAGCATGAACTCTATTCAAATGCTCTTTTGTAATATTCACTCAGTATTTCTCTCTGCACCACTCCTGCATTCTAAATAATATGTACATCTATCTGTCTGTCTCCAGCTTCTCCATCAACATCGGCCATGATTTTACCTCCTTAGCACTGCACTTTAATCCCCGCTTTAAATACAATAAGGACAAGAAAGTCATCGTGTGTAACTCTACTCAGGGAGGCAACTGGGGAAGTGAACAAAAAGAAAGCAACTTCCCCTTCCAGCGTGACGGGGAGTTCAAGGTGACACCATATCATTCACATATCTTTCCTTCCTTCATGATTTATTTGAATGGTGCCTTCTTGTCTATTTACTCTTAATGTTAATGAATTTTCTTTGATTATTTTATATACTTGCTGACATTTCATGTCATACTTTGGCCAAAAATCGGATGAACACAGTTTTCAGACAAATTAACTCAAGTTTGCTTTTTTAGTTAGCATGCTGCTACGAGCCAAATATAGTAACAAGTAATAAAATGTTATGTTACAGGAGTTAGGACCAAACAGCAGGCCAAAATCACACCCCCAAAAAAGACCCCAAACTGCTTTGAGATCTCAAACAGACTTGCATATGTGTTTTCTGACATTGTATAACATACTTTTATTCTTACAAATGGACAAACATGGACCAAAGTCAAGCTTAATGATGGCTACTACTAATAATTTTAGTTTAGCAAGTATGGGGAAACCAGAGAGGGTTGTGTACTCTTTCAAAAAATGGTTAAAGGTAATGGTTCTATTTAGAACCATGAGTTCTATATAGAACTATTTTGTGCTTAATTGGTTCTTTGCATGGTAAAATTATTTTTCAGATTGATCAAGAATGTGTTGTATATGGTTTTATATAGAACCTATTTGAAAATGGTTCTATATAGCAACAAAAAGAGTTCTGCTATTGTTGTGATGTGAAGATTGTAACACACTTTGCTGCTATTTAGAAGCCTTTTTTCAAAAGGTCCTATATAGAACCATATACAACACATTCTTGATGAATCTGAATTTAAACACTCTCAGGGGTGGGGTTACTGGACTTGAATCGTACTACAAGGTGATAAACATACAATCTGATTTGTACAGGCATACAATCTGTTTTAACACTACCATGCAATCTACAAATAGTACTTAGGGTGTGTTTAGGGTCTGGCTATTGGGCTGTAGCCTCTGGGTCTTTTTTTCTGTAGCCATGGGTCTCTTTTTTCTGCCAAAATATTTGATCTGAATATGAATTATGGGCTCATATCACTACTGAATCTTTTGTAAACGTATCCCTGCCTAAGCCGCTAGACTTAGTGATTGTTGAGACCCTTTTTCTTAGTGACTTTACTACTAAAAAACAACAAGCGACAAATTACAAGAGGGAAAGCAAGAAATATAAATATACTGTTTGCTGTGAATAAGTACTCTGTATTCATCACACCAGCAGAAAGGCACATACAGAGCACTAAACTGCAGGGTAGGTCACCATTAGCCACTGGGCTCACCCTGACGGTGACCAACCCCCAAAACAAATACCAACATAATAACCCCACTCCCCAATACAGAACAACACAACGAGCACATATTCACAACATAAACTAACAACGACCAACACCAAATAGCACAATAAGTCCCTTTGTTGGATGGCATGTGCATACCATGAGCCTTTGTGCGTGGCCATCTCCATAGTGACACCTCTAGGAGACAACGCCCGTATGTGTTGGGTCACTACAACATCAGAGTTTGAAAGATATAGCACAAACAAGTTATTGAGTTGTGACAATTTCTGAATATTTTTATAGATAGCCTAACGATAGGCTGAAGTGTCATAAAACACAAAAGCCAATCTAACTGAGATTACCTTACAACTTAATACAGTTCAAAACAATTATGCAATGGTTCTGACATGCACAATGTTATAAACTTCCATTACTTGTTAGCTTTATTAGCCTCGTAGCTTCAAAACTAAAGAGGCAGACACCAAACAAGTCTTGGCTGATCGATTACAAAATAGTCTAAATTCACCAAACTATTCCTTTAAGACAAGACTTTCTCATTAATACTGACGTCTTGACTTTCTGTAACCAGAAATCCACGCCATTCTACAGAAGTATTTGCAGTAGCACACAGCATTGTCTTATAGTGTGACAGTGCAGGTTTTTTCAGATACTAACATGTGCACATGTCTCATTAATCACATTTAACTGTTTGTAATATGTGTCATTTGTCAAGATTTGATTCATGAATTGCTGTCTGCTAAACTGGCTCCTGTGAATCAGTCATGTATATAGAAAGTTCTTGGGCAGCGTCATTAGACATGTTAATCTTTACAGTAGATTGTTGACTATAGAGGGTGTTTCTGTGTGTCTAAGTCTGTTGCCTGGTTTTAGTTATCTGAGATGTTCTTAGCAAACCTCAGAAAGACAGTATGACCTTTTTAGTGAATGCATTTCTGTTGTCCTTTGGCCTTTGCTGACTACTCAAGCGTGGGCTATGAGGCGATAATTACTTTTATGACTCTCAACCACGTAACTTCCCTAGGCAGCTCAAAAAGAGTCCTGTCTAGAGTGCCCTCTAGTGGTTATGGTGAATTCATTGCAAAAAAGCAGAAAAGCACAAATTGCAACCAACTTCTAAGACTGAAATTTGGAGGTGTGAAAAAAATCCCCACAGATTTCTTTGAAAAATGGAAAGTGAGTCTCTTGGAAAGAATGGAAGCTTCTTTTGGGAATGTAGATGCTGTTGATTGTACACTTCTTCACAGTATCTCTCTCTCGTTCTCTCTCTCTTCTCTAACAGGTGGTGTTCAACTTCAACAACGATCAGTTTTACATTAGACTCCCTGATGGCACCATGATGGGCTTCCCTAACCGCTTCGGCGACGACCGGTTCGACCACCTTCACGTGGATGGCGATGTCAAGATTCACAGCGTCAAAATACTCTAATAACAATAACAATAATAATAAAATAAAATAACCCAGAATGATAGCGATTCCAAATAAACTTGTCTTGTGCATGGTTTGAAATGCAGCCGAATCATCTGACGACAGTATGTTCTGCCTTTGAATGTGTGACGTGACCATTTATTCCATTCATATTTAATAGAGGACACCAAATAAAAACATGCTTAAAAATTTGATTTATTAAAAAGACAAAAGCTTTCATTGTAGGTTCCTTTGTTATTTCACCTAATGTAGCCAAATGCCTGTCTGTGAATTCTAACCATCCTAAAAAGTGCAGTGAAGTGATTAAAAAGTGTTGAAAAAATAAAACAGATTTCCTTATTTCTTCATTATTACTTTGTAATTTTTACCATACTTATTTTAACAATTCACAATATCTAAATAATCCTTTTAGGCTTACATTAGTGGATGCAAAGCTTGAATTTGTATCAGTCCTAAGTTATGTCCATAATATGCTAACAACAGGGCCGCCATAAGAGCCTGTAATAACAAATATTAAACGCCAGATGGAGACAGCTTCATATCTTTACTGAAAACATAAAGATGCATGCAAAATGTTTTCTTGACTGAAAATGAGTGAACACATCCTTACAGAGAACAGACTTCTGCACATTCAAAATGACTGTTACTTTGCTGAATTAATATATTGGAGAAAAAGTAAGAACTGAAAAAAAAATAATGAATAGAAACTGAAATTTGCAGACATATACAATATTTTTTTTGTTTTGTTTTGTTTTTTTTCCTGTAGAATATTTGCTATTAGCTTATTTTCTCTGAGAAAACTATGAAATTTGATCAAATATACTGAATACACTGTCCTTTATGTATTCAGTAACATATTCTGTTACAATACATAAAAAATAGCATATTCAGAAAACATTTTGCCTGCTATCTTAATAAGGCACTGCTTAATAAGCTGCTGTTATCATTTTTACTCAATTCACCCTCCTCTCTGTTACTTGTTGGCAGTTTTATTCATACAATTCTTCTGTTAATATGTTTCATAAAAAAGTCAATTAGTTATTACTGGGTTTATCAGTTTGATCATCTCTTAAAGGTGAGATAAACAATTAACTCAGCATATTGATTTATCAGTGTACTCAGGCTTTAGCAGGAACTTCAAGCTGTTTGCTGAGTTTCTCTTTAGAGTCTGTCTAAAGAGTGTGGGCTGATTTTACAATAGGCAACAGTCATGAATGGTATGATAGCTTTTCGTTTTGTTTTATTTTTGTAAATATTCTTGAAGTATTCTCCTGAATAAGTACCTGTATTCTGAATACTACCTTTTTAAAATGTAACATGGAACACAGGTACTTTATTTCTGTATTCTGAATATATAATCAACCCAACCCTGAGCCTATAGCAGTGGTTCTTAATCCAGGTCCTGGGGTCAGTCCCCTGCCCTGATGAAGTGAAGTAATGAACAATCTTCCTGAGCTGAAGTGAGTATCTTAGAGTGTGGAGAACAGACCCAGTGTTGAGAACCACTGGCCCAGAGATCACTGATTAAACTATAATTTTGAATACATGTATTAACGTCAATTAACATCAAAGGAACCTTGTTTTACAAAGACATGGTTTTGAGGAACTTTGTGATTAGTAGTTACACTGATTGCCTACATTTATTTCCTTTTTCCTCTTAAAAAAGGAAAAAATAAACCAAAACCGCTGAGGAGGACAAAGCAGTTGCATAAAATTCAACCACTCATTTCATGACACATAGGTTACTAATTCCTCTGCTGTCTATCTGCCATCTGTATCAGCACTTCCCCAACCCACACCTCAATGTGACTGGTTTTACTCACTCACTCTGCGCTCCCATTGGACCGAGGATGAGTAGTTCACACCTCCAGAATTCTCTCATCATTATAAAGGATAGTTGGAAGTTCAGGATTTTTCTGCTGGGACCTCCGCCACATCAGCGACAAGATGGTGAGTGCTGCAACATGCTCCTCTCTCTTATCATTTATGGATTTATAGAATGCAAAGTCAATGCTTTAGATCTCTCATACGTTTCATTAGAATAGAAGTGGCAGAGTAGCCTACGATAATGACCGCACACCTTGAGTCACTGTACGGCTTTAACAGGCTTGCATTGCCCAGGTTTATTGCACTGTTTGGTCAACATGAGATTTAGATGCTATCTTTGTGCAGTTCCCACTATGGAGCCCAGACAGGTTCATGCATTTAGAACAAGGCTCCAAACAAGCTTTTTGAAAAGTACAGTAATAAAAGTGTGGATATGAATTAAAGCCAGCTACTGGTATTTATCTACTATCAAGACCAAATGGTGCTTCATAATAAATGATCATCAATTTTGCATTTTAAGTTCAAATATAGCAAGGAACTAAAGGCTGACAGTAAGCAAGGAATCATTTCAGATAGTTGACATTCCCTTTGCAAGTCGAAGAGATATCTCAGATAGGACTATGACCTGAGTACATGGTCAGCAAGAGTCCAGAATGTGACCCAGCAAAAGAGAAAAGAGTACGGAGAGAGTTACACCGACTGACACACAATGATAAAATCTAACTAGCTGACCGATTTTACAAGCAATTTGTACACTTCATGAATTAGGTGTAAGATATGGTTGAATTGGAAGTAGGGTAACAATAAACTGATAAATACACGTAGCAATTCCGCAAAGTTAAAGTGTTATCAGGTCAGTGTTTAAACAGTACGTCTTCCTGTTCTCTGTTAATGGTACCTGCTGGGATGCAGTAATCCATGTTGATCATTAACACTGGGCTTGGCAGGATGCAGATAACCTCATCTCCTTTAACACCACTGACACAAAGCCTCAAGCTCAATAAACCTCAATAAACCATTCCAGAACTTTCCAATGATCCATTCATGGATGTGAAATATGCTGCTCCATAATGCAAAACAGACCATAGGCTTATATCAGTATCAGTGTGATCTCAGGGTGATCTCGGACTTTTGGGCCCCAATGTATTATATATATATATATATATATATATATATATATATATATATATATATATAATACAAAAATCTATATATAAACTACTCTCAGTACTATGTTCAAAAATTACACTGCAAAATTACAATACATTAATGGTTACTAGTTGCATTACTTTCACAATAGTTTACTGTAATATATTCACAGTAAATAACAATAAAATAGCAACTTTATACTGTGACTTCACATTGACCTGCATTACTTTTCAATTACAGTAGAAGCCAGTGACTTACTGTATGAATCTGTATGAATGCACATATGAGAAAACTGACTCTATAAATGTGTATTTTTTTTTTTTTTCTTTTTTGTAAATTTAAAGAAACATACAATTTTCTACTGTATACCACCACTTGGGAAAGATACTTATATATGGCAATTTTCTTGAAAAAATCAAACAAAATATAAAATGTGACAAGATTTTTGCACAGATTACATTTTATGTTTTAGTTTTTCTCAATATGTTAATTTCAGAAAATAATAAAAAAAAATAGTGTATTCAAATGTTCAGAAGTGTGCTGTCAGTGGACGATGTGCATTTTCACAAAAAAATCAACAGAAGGTATTTTCCCTAGGGGTGTCTAAACTTTTGCATACAACTGTGTGCACAGAATAAATTCCAGTGTAAAACTTTAGAAATTCTTTGAAACACTAAAACCTGAATCATTACAACAAACAAACACGGGATATATTTTATTAAAATGTTTATTCCTTTTTAACTTGCAGTTGCTTTCATATCCCATAATACTGTGTGGTACATTTGAAAGTCAACCACAATCATTTGCTGTGTTATTACCAAGAATATCTCAGGATGAGTTGATTTCATGAATACAGTATTTTACTGTAAAAAGTTTGTGTTAAACATTGTGTAATCCTGGCAATTATTAACAGTGTAGGTTTGATCTACTCATCAGGGGCTTTTGCACAATCTTATGGAGTCACACTGTCATGATCTTATGTGGGTGCACACTGTCATGAACGCAAAAGGTGGACATACCAAATACTGAAATTCTAAAATGTGTGCAAATATTTTAGAGATTCTGCTTTTCACTTAAAGTGGTGTGCTGATTATATAGTTTGTAATAGAAATATAATTGTATTGAATCAAGAAATATTTCAATGGCAGATAGTTTTGCTTATTTATGAAGTAATGATGTTGATGTTGGATGTAAAGAAAAACCTTATAATATTTTTCACAATCATATAATGATTGTACATAATTTTATGTTTTCTCTTGCCAGTATGCATTCTGCAGAGTAGTTACAGTCTAGTAAATTAATTATCTATTATCTATAATCAAACAATGAGAGAATCTTACTGTGTAAACGATACGTGCTTGGCTGTGGGTTGTGTTTGCTAATGTTTCTAAAATGCTGCACTTTTTGTTTCCAATTATACAGGTGTTCACTGTTAAAGACATGACTGTCAAGGCTGGCCAGGAGCTGACCATCTCTGGCAAAGTCAAATCTGGCTGTGAACTGTAAGTGCACACCATAAGACTGAAGCTAGAAAAAGAAGTCTAAAGACAAATTTCAAGTAAAATTCTGCTAAAACCTTAAAAATATTTCGATGACAAGAAGTTACAAAGGTAGATTTTGACGGAGAGCCGAGGATGAGTTTTCAGTTGTTTGGTTCCTAAGCCGTTTGAAACCTGAGGGTGTGGCGTGTTGCATTGATCACATTACAATGATCAATAACTGACAAACTGCACTGATGACATCATAACAGCCCATAAATGACTGGCTGCACTGATGACATCAGAATGGCCCTTAAGTAAAGGGCTACGTTAATGACATCAAAATGACCTATGAATGACAGGTTGCATGGATGACATTACAATGGCCCATAAGTAATGGGCTGCACTGATGACATCATAACAGCGCATAAGTATCAGGCTGCACTAATGACATCATAACAGCACATAAGTAACAGGCTGCACTGATGAAATCAGAACAGCCCATAAGAACCAGGCTGCACTGATGGCATCTCAGAAGCCCATAGGTGGCAGCTGGCACTAATGACATCACAGTGGCCCAAAAGTGACAGGCTGCACTAATGACATCACAATAGCCAATGACATTGCACATTAAAATTTGCTGAAAGATGTGTGCATTCTCTGTAGTTGTTTTCACTTCTTTAACAAAACATGCAATGATACTGATAGAGTCATATTATCATTATAATTGTGATTATAATAATGAATAAATAAGAAATGTTGTCTCCTGTTCCTCTGTAGATTTTCAATCAACCTCGGTCATGACTCTGACACCATAGTACTTCACTTCAACCCCCGTTTCTGCTACGGCAGCGACAACAACGTCATCGTGTGTAACTCTAACGTTGGTGGCTGGGGTGAAGAACAGAAGGAGTACAGCTTCCCCTTCCAACAAGGCGGAGAGTTCAAGGTGATAAAATGTGTCTTATCTGAAGTACAAATAAGCTGTAATAAAAAAAAAAAAATCCCACTGGAATGAGCTGGAATAAAAAAAGTTCCCACTAAAACATGATTGAACATTTAAACATTATAATAGTTTCAGTAGTAGAAAATAAATGTTACTTGTTATATAAAGAGAAGTTTAAATTAATATTCACAGTTCAGGAGCTGGGACACATAAGAAAGGCTGGGCCTTTCTTATGTTATCTACATGTACTTTAGTTTATGATTTATTTGAAGGGATCCTTATTTCGGTGTTCTTTCAAAGACAAATATGGCACTGTTTAGATATTTATCTTTAAGTCATGCATGAAGTCAAAAACTGGCGGTCCACATGTTTTATTGTCTCCATATCAGCCTGCCATTGTGTCCATAAGCCTTTATGACTGCTCATAAATCACATAAGTGATATGTAAAAGTTCATGTAACCATGGCCAAACTATACATTCAGTTAAGTTAAACTAGTCAAAACCATGTAACCACAATCATTCAGTAGCACTACATTATAGAGATACTTTTAATTGAAGATGAAAACATCCTCTACAGCAAACTTGAATGATGCATTTTCTGCTAATTTTATTACACTGTTTCTATTTAATTATTGTCTTTAACATATTCAAAAAGAAGCAAAAAACATAAAATATAAAATGTGCCACAACTTGTGCACTATCCACATTTTATCTCTTATTATTTTATTTTTTTTTACAAATATGTTAAATTGACATGTTAAATTTCACTTTTCATTTGATGGGTGCCCAAACCTTTGCATATGACTGCATATACACTAGCGTTCACAAGTTTGAAATCAATGTTTTTAATAATATAAAACTAATCATGTCTTATAAAAGCATAACATAAGGAATTAAGCTATGATAAAATTAATATCCAGAATGCATCATATTTTAAAAAGGTGGTCAAATCTCAAGGAAGAAAACCTAAATACATACTTACAGTAGATTATTTGTCATTTAATAAACTGTCATTCACAAAATTCTTAAAAAATTTAATAAAATGTGTAAAATATATTTTGGTAACTTTTACATTCTGTTTGGTGACAGAATGTAAATTTAAATCCACTTTGTAAAAGTTATTATTGTGTACAAAGTAACAATATTAATCTGGCAAGTTATTCCAACGCTAGTGTATTTTATATTTTTCTCTATATTGACATAATGGTCTATATGTTTTATAGTCTTTGTGAAAAGCAGCCCCATAACTACGATTGTCTCCTTGGGACTTTATAAGGGCTAAAATATCACTTACGGTATGTGTGTGTATTATTTTGTCCCAAAACATAGAATTAATCTCTCATTTCAAAATGGAATGTTCTTTTTCTAATCAGAAGATATGGGAATCAGAAATATGTTGAAATTGAATTACAAATATGAGCTCATCCTGCTCGTATATACACTAATAACGGAGCGGCAATGGCTAATATCAGCCTGCAATGACTCAGATCAAACACTAGATGGAGACATCTTTATACCTCCAGTTAACCCCAATGTCTAACACATCTGATTATGCAAGACTATGGCACTCAGAGGTCTACTACAGCAGTGTTTCTCCACCCCGGCCCTGGAGGCCCACGTCTTGGACCTCTTAGACTTTATAGTGTTTTCCCTGCTCCCAAAACACCTAATCCAACTAATCAGCTCATTAACAGCCCATTACTGAGTTAAAGTGGCTGTGTTGATGCAGGGAAAGTACTAAAATGTGCTGGGCAGTGAGCCTCCTGGACCAGGGTTGAGAAACTCTGTAGTATAGCACTAAGAGGGCCATGATTTGCAGTCAATGATGCTAGCACTTGTTGTAGTGCACCATAGTGATGCTGTGCATAAGTTTGCATGTTTGCAATTAGATCCTCTGGGTGATATGTGGACACCTGACCATCACACCTATATGAGTTTGTTGGTCATGCCATCCCAAAACCATGGGCATTAATATAGAGTTGACAGACAAGACGGCCTGGCTCGCAATCGACATTCTAATTCAACTGAAAGGTGTTCAGTGGGTTTGAGGTCAGGCCTTCACACCAAACAGTGGAAACAGATTTCTACTTGGCCCTACAACTTTTTCTGATGAACTCCCACCACGCCAGTGATAAAATGGTGAGTACTACTACACTCTTCTTTCTTTTATGAATTATTGATTTACAGAATGTCAAAACAGTCAATGCAAAAGCAATAGAGCAATAATAATAGGACAAAGAAGATTAAACTAAGGACTAGATGTATGTGCGTGAGAAGACACAGCACAATATGTGACGTATACAATATATACACATTCTGTGTTAGTTTCACACTTTCAACTGTATTTTCTTAGCTGAAAAAAACACCCCAGTGTACCTTTTTGGTAGGAAAGAATATTTATCTGTCAGATTATACCTATCATTGTGCTAAGGCAAACTTCATTAACATGTCATCAGTTTTGGATGATAATACATATTAATGAGGTCTCATGCACTCTTTTCTTCCTGCCACCTAAGACCTCATACAACAGACATTTATTAGGTGCTACGCACATGATAGCATTAAGCTGAGAGCTTACTTTGACTAACAGTCACCAAAGAGCACCTAAATAGTGGTGAAGCAGTAGAAGGGCAGCATGTGTCTGACCTAGTTGTGGTTAACACCTATAGCAGACTGGGTGTGGGCTGTCAAAGGCAGTGATCCTAGATGTGCCCAGTAACAGAGATCAAATGAAACATAGTATTTAAAAGATATGAAGATACAAAATGATTCATACTTATGATAATTTTTGCACTTTCTCTCCCTCCAACAGGTCTACGTCATTGGGCAGTTTCATATTAACTCTCCAAAAGCACTGTGTTGAAGCACTGAAGACATAAAAGCTTCAAGCACACTGAAGTGAAGGGTGAAGCCAGGGTTTGAGCATAAGATCACATAAGATGACCCATAGTAATCTCACTCAGACACACCGATTCCCAGTCAAAACAATGAGCCGGACCAAGTAAAATACACACATCCAGAAGTTTGTAGACGCTTCCTGAAATCTTCTGAAATCAAAGGTTTTAATAATAAGCTTGTCCCCTTGTGCTGCAGTAACAGCCTCTACTCTTCTGGGGAGGCTTTACACTGGATGTTGGAACATTACTGTGAGGTTTTGATTGCATTCAGCCATAAGAGCATGAGTGAGGTCAGATACTGATATTGGATGATCAATTGTGGATCACTCCAACTCCTCCCAAAGGCTTCAGAGGATGCAGTTCTACAGCCCAAAGCTAGAGGGCTTTGTACTCCTCTTGCTGATGCTTAGCACTGGGCATGGAGACTTTAGGCTTGTGATTGGGGCTGCTACAGAGCATCCTGTTCTATTCACAGTGCTTTAGTAAATTAGAAAGGGGTGCCTGGATCTGTCTGGATACACATGGACTTGGACTAAACTACTGTATTTCTATGGAATTAAAAAGTCAGGGCTTAGTTTGGGCTTACCCTTGGTCTGGAAATTATGTTTCTCTAGAAAAGCTCTGATGTGTACAAGATCTTCTTTTCTAGACCAGAATGTAATGTTTCTCAATGCGTGAAAAGAAACAACTAAAATGTTGTAAATAAAACATTTGTTCAAAATCAAAACTGCAGTTTGACTCAATAGAAAAATTCTACTGTATGTTTTGTGTTCTTTAAAAGCGCTATTGACAAGCCTTGTTAGCTGACCCTAATAGCCTTTCATTTATACACTGAGTTGCCACCTATACTTGTTGTCCATTATGCCCCTACCAACCAAAGTGGACACACAGTCTGTTTCTGGTCCATACTGTACAACCATTGATGGAGGGCTAGAGGATAACAAACTAAAATTATTCATGGAAAAAAGCTCTAGTCTCTGTATAAGTCTGCATATAGTCTCTTACTGTACACCTACACAGTGTACCAACAAGGTAGGAGTATCTAATAATGCTTTTCCACCATATGGTATTATGGTGAAGCACAATGTGATTACTAATCTGAACCCAGAACCATCTGTACCTGCTTTAGATTGTGCTTCCTTCAACAGAACAATGAAAGTAGGCGAGGCTCTCTATAGGTTGTGTGGTGGTCACATGGTTTCTTATGCAAAAGATTAAACAGTATCAACATTGGACCAGCCTCAAGCTATGATTTACCATTAACTCTGCATTTAGTTTTATTTGAGCGTGATGGGCAGTTCTAGTGTCTATAAATGGTAGTCATCTGACTCTGATGACGCCAAGTGATGATTCTGTGATGACTGAGTTTGTCCAGTCAGTGGTCTGTACTATTTATACCTTTGGCTCAACACGTTTGGTACCCTGAGGGCAAAGAGGTTAACCACATTTACCAGATTCTTTTTCAGCTTTGTTGCCTTGGTTTTCATTAGTGATAATGGCCTTCTGCTGTTGTGCACAGGATTTGAAATGAAAGGGGTGGGGGATTCCAGACTTTCCATATGAGTAAATGGACTTTCCCATAAGAGGGAAAATATTGAACTTGGGGGTCAAGTATTACCTTGAACAAAATGTGAATTTGCTGACAAAATTAATGCCCTCACAGATAGTGACCATCGAGGTGACCATCTTATTTTTCTACATTTTCATCAACTGTAAATTCACCCAGTCCAAATTCATAGTATAACAGTACAATCTAAGGCACCAAGCCACGTCACTCTGGTCTAAAAATGAAGAAGCTTAAAGCTTGAGCATGCCTCAAACTGCTGAGAAACCTTGTGGTCAGCAAAAGCCATGAAGACACAGAAAAAATGCTGTTAGCTGCCACGCCATTAGCCAACAAACAATGGACTCACTTTATGGCCTTGTGGACCTTGCATGCACATGCAATTGACTACAAGCGCTCCATATGGGACAGATCTTTAATATGTACTTTGATGGTCAGGAGAAACGGTAATATTCAGTGTTGCCTCTAGACATTAATGTCTGTATCTGCTCTCTTTCTAACAGGTGACCATCAGCTTCAACAATGAACAGTTTTACATCAAACTCCCCAACGGCACAATGATGAGCTTTCCTAACCGTAGCGGTGATGACAGCTTCAAGCACATTGACGTGCAGGGAGATGTGAAGGTCCAGGGCATCAAGCTGAAATAAAGAGGCTCCACACCTTTAGGCCTAAACCACAACTATCTTAGTGTATGTAAGCTGAAGGTCACTGTGAAAGCCCGCCCATCTGATGTGTTCAAGAATGTTCTGTTCTAGAACTAAATGGTGCTTAATGTCTGAAAGGAAACCACCACAGTTTGCTAATAAAATAAAAAAGGAATGTAAATCTTCAATACAAGCTCGAATGACTTTTGTTCTTTCATTTTTTTTTGTGTGTGTTCTAGTTATAGTAATGACATCTATCTGAGTTTTACAAATTGGAAAGAAATAAAACATAAAATATAAAATAAATACATTTGGCACAAGACATATTTTATTTAATTTTATTTTTTTCCCAGTATGTTAAATTCAGAGGAGGACCCTCAGGACAATGATTGCTAGGAACTAAAAGTTGTCTTTCATTTTTAGTTAATTTTTATTCAATTAAATCATGTTTGCATATAAACTCTGCAGGTATTACAGTATTGCTCTTGTTTCATTGTACCATATAGGATGAAAACAAAAGACTTAAATTTTTGAAATGCAGAGCAGAAAATTGCCCAGGTTAGCTTAGCGAGCTCTCCTTTTGGTTAGGACTTCAAGAGCTGAAGAGAAGGCCAAACACATTAGATTAGCCATGTAAGCTTTAGATATTCTTGCTAGTTCTCTTATTTATCTTATGTTATTAGTTAGCATAAAAAGACAATACACAGACTATCAAATACACACACTCACCAAATTATTAATAATTGTTGTCTTTTTTAATGTCAGCCAGGTTGAATTAAATCAGACAGTTTTCTTTAAAAACTTGGAGTAGAAATAAGAGATTTAGATTTACCCAGTGCTCATATTCATTAGGAGCACATGTTTACATCACCACAACATGTCATTTGACCAGGGGCACTTAAACGTTTGCATTTGACTGCTATAGTGTTTCAGCTTAAATCCTAGATGCTACATGTGAGCAAGCTTAAGACATAGATAACTATCTGAGAAGCAGCCTGTGACTCTAGCCTGCTACATAGAGAACTGGCGGCTAGACTCGCCACTGAGCAGGAAATGTGTTTTCTTACACAATTGCACACATCCCCCACCCTCCTACTGACAATTTTTTCTGTTGAATTCACACCATCATAGGATAAAAAAAGGAGAGCAGAAGCAAACAACAGCAGCCATGTTACCACAGAGGCCAAATAATGTTCGACTCAGAAAAGAACAAACTACTTTACTGTCATCGTTAACTGGGTCTTGGCAACACTGACCATTTCATTCATTATTTTTTTCCTTAAAAACTTTTGTACATGATTTGATCTGATCTAAAGGTGAAAATCTGATCAGATATGTCGCTTCAAAAACACACCTCAGGAAACAGCACAGTGCTGAGGTGTCTCTCAGGTCAACTGAGCTGAGCCTTGGCCTTATAGGACAGTTAAAGGGGAATTTCACCAAATGTTTCAGAATTTCTACACAATTAAATGGTTAAGATATGAACAAAGTCATTCAGAACGATTTGATGTGAAATGCTCCTTTAAGGAAAACTTACAGGGTCAGATATCCACCTCTAAAAGCTCCCTCATGGAAAGTTATTACTAAAATGGTTATGGTTATGCCTATTTTAGGGTAGTTTTGACCTAAAAAACCCTAGACAGGCCGCCAATCCATCGCAGGCAGACATACACACCTAGGGGCAACATAGCGTGTCCAATTGGCCTGGCTGCATGTCTTTGGACTGTGGGAGGAAACCCACACAGACATGGGGAGAACATGCAAATTCCACACAGAAAGGACCCTGGTCACACAGCCGGAATCAAACCCAGGTCCTTCTTGTTGTGAGGCAACAGCGCTACCCACTGCACCGCCATGCCACCCTGGCCTAAAACATATTTTTGTAATTCATTCACAGTTGAGAGGTCCATGCAGTGTGCTTAGGCATGCTAAGGCAAACTAGTCCCCCAAAATATTATGATTTCAGATTTTTTCACTATTTCAGCATTATCAGCATTACATATGAAAAGTGAGAAGACACATGTAGGTTCATAGGTTGTTTGAGATATGTTTGCACTGTAGACATTACGACCCCTGGTTCCTATCACTGCCGCTGTAAAGAATTCAACGTCAGTAAGTTTCTCTACAATGCCCAATTGCAGATTAAACAAATCTGAATGACACTGTGTACATCTGAAAGGCTGAATTATGCAGGTATATAAAAGTGGTCAAAGTCCTCTTTAAAAATGCAATGATATGTTGAATTAAAAGAACAGCCAAAAACATAAATAAATAAAAACAAATCTAATTTACACAATTTTCTATGAACCCCTAATGTAGTCGATCGACTAAGACATGTTTGGTGTCTAAACTTTATTTCTTTAGTTTTAAACTCACAGGTGCACTGGTGGAGATGTGGCAGGCAGGAGGGCCAGCAGTAAGTAGCAAACCCTTGTATGTTTTACTAAACTGGAGCTGTGATGCTAATAAACACTAGAAGTCAATAGTCACCCAAATCTTTTCCATAAACACACACTTCTTTGAACCTGCTTAAACAGCTTCCAGGCCCTCTTTACTTTTGTGCAGACTTCTTGATGTGGTTTTGGAGACCGTATGTGACCATATAATGTAACTATACAACTGAACAAAACTTCACCATGTTTTTTAATCAACACCTGTCCTAAACCACAATGACACCTCCATGTAACCTTATTTCAGACCTCAGTGAGTGCAGTTTATGGAAAAGATTTTGGGTGACTCTTGACGTCTACTGTTTGTTAGCAACGTTAGCCTTGCTGCTTCAGTGCTTAATTAAAGAAGTAAAATTTGGACACTACACAACTTGGCTGATCAGCTAATTTAGGGTACATAAAAAGGGTGTAAATTTGACTTTTTAAAAACAACAATGAAACCCATCAGTTTCTAGCGTTTGATATGTCCCCAAATCCATTTCTTTGTTTATTAATCTTCCATCTTAAATTTTGTATCTGTACCACATGAGTGCACAAGGAGGGAGTGTGTGGCCTGGTAAGTTTGAAAATGAAACAGACTATTCATCTTCAACACTTGATAATAGCCAAGCTTCACTTAGCTAACAAGCAGGCTGTTGTGCTAGCAGGGCAGGCTAAGTTTAACAACAGTTAATGTTAGCAAGCGTTTTGAGAGATTATGGTACTGAAATGATTTGTGATCAGTTTGTTCAGAAAACAATAAAATCGTGTATGGCTATCGAACGTCAGCTGACAATATTTATAGTCATGGGCAAAGGTTAGGGTGCCCCTGGTCAGATTATGTTTTGTTGATTTGTGGAAATAAGTACACATCCTCTACACAGAATACACATCTGCAAGTTAATGCGCACATCATTTATTTGATGAATTTAACATATTGAGAGAAAAAAAAAAACACACAAAATGTAGCCTGTGTAAATACAATGGTACATTTTTTTGTTTTTTTTTTTTCTTTTCCAATATGTTAAATTCAGGACATGAATGAAATTGCACTAAAATTTGCAGACAAAATGGCAGATCATGACTATCATGGCTAGAGTTAGGACAAAGTCTTCAGCATAGATTTCAAGAGCCACCAACAAGTGGAGGTGGATGGTAGAATGGTGGAAGGCATGGAATGGGGTAACCACAGCACAGTAGTGCTCCAGGCTCATAGCAGCCAGTGCGAAAATTCTAGCATGCATGGTGAGCAGGTCCAGGCTTAAGAGCACATGACAGCCCATCTCACCAAAACACTGTGGTGAGCAAAGTAGGTGCACACCACGAATGGAATGGTGGCTAGATAGAGCAGGTCAGCTGCCGCCAGATTCACGATAAAGGCATGCATGGAGCTTGCAAGGCGCAGCGCAGCTGAAGGCATTATAGCACCCAAGAGAGGTGTTACCCATATTACACAGCCACTTTCTGCACTGCTGCTGCCTGAACCTGAACCGACAGAGATCCTGCTGTTGGGTGCCAGGCTCAGCTGAAAAAAGTTGCTCAAACTTTTGCACACAAGTCATTAACTGTTATTAGTATTTGCCAATTTTATATACACTTATACATAAAGAACTTGCCTTTTCAGGTTCAACACTTCTTTAAAGTCTAAGGCAACATCAGATCTAATCAGTTGGAAAATTCTAAGTCTCAGCATGACAGGTACAATATTAGAGACCCAAATCAACCATATACATCCACAACCATTATATGTATCAGCTCCAGATTGAGTCAGGAGGCTGCATTCACTCTGTTTTCAATCACTGCATTTAAAAGATTCAGATTCTTTGAGTCTCAGACTCAAATTCGAATTCATCAGAGTCACAGTGAGCATTGTTCAGGTAATGAGATTTGTATTAGTCCTTTTCTGCTGGCCTAGGAAGATCCACAGTCCCAGGAGTAATTTGCATAGCTACTCGAAAAAGTCTGGGGCTGGGAGTGAGGAATTTAGTGGCCAAGAGAAACATTCCACAGAGAGGGGGGGCAGTACAGACATGTACAACCAGGAAATATCCATTCTCAGATACATACACACATCCATACAGTTTACTATGTGTGGTAACAGCATGAGGACATTTATTTTATGAGTCTTAGAGTATTGCTAAAGAATTGTCACAGCACCCTACAAATGTTTAGGTGAGCTTATCTCTATCAGGATCTGATCTGCAATAGATGTGCTACAATTACTACAGGACTTCAAGCATTACAAAACCACAAAAAATATAAATGCTCAGAAAGACTAGCTCAAAGAGGACATAAAGCCCTGAATTCTGGGTACATTGTCTCTATGGAAATACAGATGAATCCATGGCAACCTGACAGCGAGTTGAGAGGTCTGTAATAAGTTCCAGTTCTTACTTGAATCATCATCAAACTGAAAATCCATAATATGCCATTATTTTAGACGTCCATCACATTTGACATGACATCTCAACTGCAGTCCACTGAAGCACCATTTATGAAGAAAACTAGATACAGGCCCACTGACATTTAAAAAAAGGTCAGATCCATTCAAAGTGCTCTGAAAGAAGCTCAAGTCGTCCCAAACTTTTTATCTCCCTGCATAAATCTACAGTGCATCCGTTGTAATCTTAACAAGATCTTTGCACTAAGTTGAAACCAGGACCACTGTGCGGTCTGTGAATGCCTGGACAGCATCAAAACCCCTGCAAATGGAACCTAAGGACTTTCCCTTGTGGGTCAGTTTCGGATGAGTGTAGAGGATGACGTTGATAACCAAGAAAAGTTTGGCCATGTGCCAGCACCATGATGATAAACTACTATGTTTAAAAAGTGAACAGTCATATGGTTGAGAACTTACAGTAACTCTTCCCAAGCACCAGTCACACTACATCTACTGGGAATGTTAAAACCTCAGTATTACATGGTTCAGGTAGATGTCAAGGTCCAGGTCATCAAGTTCAAATAAGATGGCTCATAGTTGTTTCATGCATTGACCACTGCAGCTGACCCCTGATCGGCTCGACTGGAGCCTGAGGGCTGACCCCTTTGGGCCAAATAGTCTTTGTAATTGCGAGTAAGTAGAGTGTATAGGAGCGGGTTCACACAGCTGTTCCCGTAGGTCAGGCAGGTGACAAAGAAGTTGACGTAAGTGTGGGCAGCAGGCGAGAGCGACCGCAGCGACTCCGATGAAAAGAGCTTGGCCATCTGCCAGCCCCAGAAAGGTAGGAAGCAGGCCCAGTAGGCCACCACGATGCTGAAGATCATGGCCACCACTTTGTGTTTGAGCCTTGTCCTGCGTCCAGCTCCTGCTCCTCCTCTTTGGGTCAGGTTAGCCTGTGCTGTCCAGTAGCGTCTTGCTAACCCGGCATATAGCCCTACCATGACCAATCCAGGCACCAGCATGCTAGTGAAGAAGAGCACGGTCAGGTAAGCTTTGAAGGCCTCCAGCTTCCATGTGGGGAAACAGATGCGCTTGACCAGGCCGCCCGGTCCAGCACGGCCCTCTCGCAGCCTGATCATTACCATCATGGGTAGCGTCAGGACAAAGGCTGCAGCCCAGATTCCCAGAGCCACCAACCAGTGGCGGCGGATGGTTGAATGGCGGCGGGCACGGAATGGGGTAGCCACAGCACGGTAGCGCTCCAGGCTCATAGCAACTAGTGCGAAAACACTAGCGTGCATGGTGAGCAGGTCCAGGCTCAAGAGCACCCGGCAGCCGGTCTCACCAAAGAACCAGTTGTGGGCGAAGTAGGTGCACACCACGAATGGAATGGTGGCCAGGTAGAGCAGGTCAGCTGCCGCCAGATTAATGATAAAGACATGCATGGAGCCTGCACGGCGCAGCGCAGCTGAACGCATTATGGCCAAGGTGTACAGGTTGCCCGACACACCGAGGATGCACATGATGATGAGGGTGGCACCCAAAAGAGGGGTTACCCATATTACACTCCCTCCACCTGAGCCACTTCCTGCACCGCTGCTGCCTGAGTTTGAACCTGAAGGGCCAGAGATGCTGCTGTTGGTTGCCAGGCTCATGATACACAAAAATGGAGATCAGCTGAAAAAACCAAATAGATTCAGGAGATTTACAACAGGTCCATAGTTGCACCTCTTCAACTCTAGACTGCAGCTACTGCTCAGGTGAAACCTCACAAGTCACAAGAGCAAAGAATAGAAGTCCTTGGAATGGATGGAGAGCCCCAACAGATGGCATCTGAGATGCTGACCTGAAGATTCCTGTTTTTCAATCAAACGTGAAAATGACAGTGACAGAACTTTGAGAATGGTTGACAAGTTCTTAGAATTGTTGAGAAACAAGTCTTAAACAAAGCCATGATCTGGTTCTGTGCTGTAGAAAGCTTGCAATGTCCCGCTGGCGTGTCCAAGCTCAGTGGCCTATGAACTGAGTGGGAATATCTAGAAATCCAAACATGGCTTTTCTTGTTCTGCATTCCCTTCTCGCCCTCTTCCGTAATACGGATGGCCATTAATGTTTCCATCCAGGGTTTAAACTTTTGTGTCCTTCAGGCACAATCCTGTGAATGAGTATCAGAGTTGGTGTTGCGTTCTCCTGCACAATTATCTTTCTCCTCTCCTCCTTCACTCCTCTCCTGTTCTCTCCTCTGTCCTTTTCTTTGCCTCTCTCTCTCCGCTTAACTTGCTCACTCACACATAGGTGCAAATGCACATGACGTGTAGGATTTATGAGATGTTCACTTTAGGCTGTCTGACCCAGCTTTGAACACCAGGGTGCCATTTCAGACATCAGTGATACAAGCACACATACATTTTCACTCAACTGTATGATATGCACACGCTGTAGGTACTGTACATGCACAGATTGTTTTCTATAAAACGCACCATTTACATTTTATTTACATATTTGAAAACTTACAATTTTAATCACTGGGAGCTGAAAGCAGCGTTAGGAGTCTTGCCCAAGGAGTAGTGTGACATTCTTGCCAGAGCAGGAATCAAACCCTAGTGTGCCGCATCAAACTTTCAACTCAGGCTACATGATAGATTACTCAACACTTGAGCTAAAGAAAAATTAGCACAAAGGAAAATTTACAATCACACAAAGTAGCGCATGTGAAATATTTTTCATTCTAAAATGAACTGGCAAGATTTTTAGAGCAGACATGCATGTTTGAGATCCAACGAAATGAATCGAACAAGGCAAATTATTTAATCACTCATTAAAGCTTTAACGTCTTATTGACCAGGGTATATTTAGCTTTTTCCACCTGAATTTACATGATCAAATCATAAGGCAAATTATTCAGTAACTGCATGAAGTAAATGTCAATTTTTATTTTATTTATTATTATTATTATTATTATTTTTTTTTTTTTGTAATAGCTCCCCTCAAATTAACAGTTGTGTTTTACAATCATACACATATTGCTATATGCTTACAATTTCCTGCTGAAAGCCAAAAATCTTAGACGCTCTTTGTATTATTTTATAAAAATAATTTTTACAGAGCAGATCACTGAAGAGACGCCATCTGTTTATAGTTTATAGCCCAGATGTGTGGAAAAACGGGTCGACTTTCAGTAGACAAAAAAAAAAGTGAGTTCAGCTTCTTCAATCATAAGGGTTTAAAATTACATTACCCATCTATTTGACTGGAAAGCTCTCATATGACCTCCACTTTTTGAATGCAGCTTATGAAATATGAAAGTTATGAAGAATATATCGAAGTGCGTTTTGGAACCACTGGTGGTCTCAAGGAGTTGAAGTGGTTCAAGTGGTGTTGCACGACTCCAGGTTTCCTGAAATCTGACTTTTGACTCCTGACACTGGAGGAACTCATCAGCTCAACTTAATTTTAAACAGGACAGCACCAGAGCCATTGATAAAGGCATGTAGTGGATAGTAAACCATTGTTTACTCAAAAGGTACTCCTTCAAATAAGCTAATGCTAAAGATAGCCCTTGAGCTAGTCAGAGCAATGTTAGATGCTAAATATGTTGTTGTATTTTTGTTTTTTTGAGCAACTTTAATGAATTATATAACGGGTAGCAAGTGTATAAGTGCATTAATACATTTTAATCACAAATGTGAGCGCTCTATCATCCCGTTTAATCCGACCGATTTATCAAACTGTCAGCAGCGAAGTTAAGAAATGCTAACTAGTTAGTTAACTTTTTTAGGTAATGTTGATAGACATCATATGAAAAATGATTAAGCAAATACAGTAACTCAGAAAACGTTTAGCTTAAATTAGAGCCAGATTATGACCACCTCCTTGTTTCTACACTCATTGTCCATATTATCAGCTCCATATAGATGCACTTTGTAGTTCTACAATTACAGACTGTAGTCCATCTGTTTCTCTGTTAGCCCCCTTTTACCCTGTTCTTCAGTGGTCCGGAACCCCATGGACCCTCACAGCGCAGGTACTATTTGGGTGGTGGATCATTCTTAGCACTACACTAACACTGACGTGGTGGTGGTGTGTTAGTGTGTGTTGTGCTGGTCTGAGTGGATCAGACACAGCAGTACTGCTGGAGTTTTTAAACACCTCAGTGTCACTGCTGGACTGAGAATAGTCCACCAACCAAAAATATCCAGCCAACAGCGTCCTGTGGACAGCATCCTGTGACCACTGATGAAGGACTAGAGGATGACCAACACAAACTGTGCAGCAGCAGATGAGCTATCATCTCTGACTTTACATCTACAAGGTGGACTGACAAGGTAGGTGTGTCTAATAGAGTGGACGGTGAGTGGACACAGTGTTTAAAAACTCCAGCAGCACTGCTGTGTCTGATCCACTCAGACCAGCGCAACACACACTAACACACCACCACCACATCAGTGTTACTGCAGTGCTGAGAATGATCCACCACCCAAATAGTACCTGCTCTGTGAGGGTCCATGGGGGTCCTGACCACTGATGAACAGGGTAAAAGGGGGCTAACAAAGTATGCAGAGAAACAGATGGACTACAGTCTGTAACTGTAGAACTACAAAGTGCACCTATATAGTAAGTGGAGCTGATAAAATGGACAATGAACGTAGAAACAAGGAGGTGGTCATAATGTTATGCCTGACCGGTGTGCACCAAGATACTAAGACTGTCTTCTTCGCAAAAACATAAATGAACAGAAAGACACATTAATGGGCTTCATATTTATTACAAATATTGATTTTGGTTGTGTTTAATTCTTGCATTTAATGTCACAAGTACTATAGGCACTATTATTCCATATTACTAAAGTGAGCAATGATATTGTATCATTAATGGTCAAGAAACAAACTTGGGTCGGCATGATGCCTAAATCAAAAAAACAAGCCGAGTTTAAGGCTTAATATTACATTATTACAGGTACAAAAATCACCACTTGGATGCACCTCAATAAATCAAAACAAACAATTAAAACACTATTCAAAATCTGCAGGAGAGGCTACAACCAAACAATCAAAACTATAAAGATGTGCCACTTGTAGAACAAGAGATCAAAAACCAACAGTTTGGTAGTTTAAACTAATACATAACCATATTACAGTAAACAACAGTAAGATACAAACTAAGTGTGATCCAGTGAAAAGGCTGAACACATTTTACATTAACTATTACTTTTTTCTACCTTTTCTAATTGTGACTTGTGTTTGCCCTACATAATTGCAGTTTTAGCTCTAAAAGTACTTACTGAAATTTAAAATATTCAGATATGGATTAAAATAACCATAAACGAGTAGTGTTCTGTCCCTTAGACTTGTCAAGCCTTTAGCTGCAGAGACTGAGATGAAAGGGAAGGTGGGGTCACTGACTCCATCAGTGTCTGTGCTTGAAGAGGGCCTCCACTGGAAAAAGAAAATACATAATTATTTCACACACTGAAATTTACAAACACACAGTGCTGTATAAACAGCAACAGTGAACAGTGAACCTACAAGCAAGGTGGAGAAGTGTGAAGGACGTGTTTCTAATAAAGTGGCCACTGAGTGGAAGTATGAACTAGGTGTTTCTAATAAAGTGGTCAGTGAGTGGAAGTATGAAGGAGGTGTTTCTAATAAAGTGGCCACTGAGTGGAAGTATAAAGGAGGTGTTTCTAATAAAGTGGCCACTGAATGGAAGTATGAAGGAGGTGTTTCTAATAAAGTGGCCACTGAGTGAAAGTATGGAAGTGTTTCTAATAATGTAGCCAGTGAGTCAAAGTATAACGGAGGTGTTTCTAATAGAGTAGCCAGTGAGTGGAAGCATAAAGGAGGTGTTTCTAATAACGTGGCCTCTGAATGGAAGTATAACGGAAGTGTTTCTATTAAAGTGGCCACTGAGAAGAAGTACAAAGTAGCTGTTTTTAATAAAATGGCCAGTGAGTGGAAGTATAAAGGAGGTGTTTCTAATAAAGTGACCACTGAGTGGAAGTATGAAGGAGGTGTTTCTAATAAAGTGGCCACTGAGTGGAAGTATGAAGGAGGTGTTTCTAATCAAGTGGCCAGAGAGTGGAAGTCCAAGGTAGGTCTTTCTATTATAGTGGCCAGTCAGTAGAAGTACAAGGGAGGTGTTTCTATTAAATACATATATGTGATAAAAATATAGTATTATTAATGTGCATTTTAAACAGATGATGAAATCTTGCAATCTGATGCAGAAGATGTCAGCTTTTCCACTCACTGCTGTACTCCTGCGGTGACATCGGTGTGTTGATGACCTCATTAAAGTGATTGAACCAATCTAATTGCTCCGTCTCCGTCTCACAGGTAAACAGGAAGCTGCGATCTGGTGTTTTTATGGTGATGCCGTTTTGCCAGGCACCGTTACAGTGGGCGCCAGGGCTTAAGCCCAGGCTGGCGCTGTAGCCCAAATCTTTGTGCCCCAGGAACACCTCACCCTTAGCAAACGCATCCTGCCATACAAACACACAGCACAACAAGGAGTTACAGTCGTATGCAAAATTTTAGGCACCCCTCGTCACATGACGTTGATTTTCTAAGTGAAAATAAATAAACGTCCTCTACAGAGAACATACTTCTGCACAGTTTACCGCACAATTACTGTTTACTTGCTGAATTTAACATATTGAAAAAATATAAAATAAAATGTGGCCTGTGCAGAAGTTATAGCACATTCTATACTTTATGTTTTATCTTTCTAGTGTGTTAAACTTTGAATTCGTAAACTACAAACTGGGCAGTGAAACTCTGAGTAAATGTCATATTTACATGTTTTCTCTGTAGAGGCTGTTACACTTTATTTTCACTTAGAAAATCAACAAAACATATAATTTGACTTTATATGTCTAACTTTTGCAAACAAAATTGAATTTAACCTACATGAAGACCTGGTATTTAGGCACCATTTATGAATTTCATGATTTTATATATATATATTTTTATAAAGCTTTTCAAAGGATCTGCAGGAACCCTGTGTTTTTGAGGAAAAGATAACTGCCCCTTGTAGAAGACATTCAAATAACATGTAGCTAGGTTAAGAGTGGTCCACCACTCAAAAATATTCAGCCAAGATCAGCTCTGTGGACAGAAGGGCTAGAGTATTACTAACTCAAACAGTCTCTAACTGTACACCAGCAAAGTAGCACTCAGTCAGTGTATGTATATTATTACAACATTTGGCTATAGTTTTATAATGAATATTTTTTTTCTTTAATCTTAGCGATAGCATGGCAGTAACGATACAGTTTTCACCATCGTCGCCACATGGGGCCAGTTAAACTGGTTAGGCATGAGGGCACTGATTTACCATACGGACTTGGACAGGCTCCAATAACAGCCTGCTAATAGGAAATTCACACACTGACTGGCACTGCTGTAATAGATACTAATAGCTGCCCATGGGTGCTGATCTGTGGTCAGTTTTATCAGTCCAAATGTACTTGTCCTGTAAGCACTGGAGCATCAAGCTGCTCTAAGATCAGTGGCTACATGCCACAGCATTCCGAGAGATACTTCCGTCTCAACAGGAAACATCTGAAAAAAAGGAATTCAACTGAGTGTATATCTGCATGTAATTCTGAGAATAGGAAAATAAACAGATACTACCAGAGGATCTTTGAAGTACATTAGCTTCCTGTGGTCCAAGGTGAACCAACGCTTCTTGAAACCCTCGGTTTGCTGCGAAAGGAGAGAGAGGGAGAAACAGAGTGAAAAATTCATGATTGTACAGACACTGCAGCTCAGTACTGTAAATCAGATCTTCACCTAGCACTTTATCTCAGACTTCTAGCACAAGCAAGCATGAGTGAGTTCCACTGCTCATTTCTAGACTCTGGTGAATTAACCTCTTAATGCTGGGGCAAAAAGTGGCTACTGTGGTGTGCACATGTTTGGGCACCCCTGGTCAAATGGCATGTTTGTTATGTTGACACATCCTCTACAGAGAACCTGCTTCCAGACATTTTAATTACTATTTATTCAGTTATTTAACATACTGAGGAAATATAAAACATAAAAAGTTACAGCACATTTCATGTTTAATGTTTTATTTTCCAATGTATTAAACTCGGCAGATAAATAGAAATTGTGCACTACAATTTGCAGAAAATGGCTTATTTAAAGCTGCAGAGGAAGAATTTGAAGCACAACCAATGTAACAGAAAATGTTCTGTATGTTGTGTTTCCATCAGTGAGGTTTCCAAATCTACAATTCTACAATTACAGACTGTAGTCCATCTGTTTCTCTGTATACTTTGTTAGCCCCCTTTTACCCTGTTCTTCAGTGGTCAGGACCCTCACAGAGCAGGTACTATTTGGGCAGTGTCCTGTGACCACTGATGAGGGACTAGAGGATGACCAACACAAACTGTGCAGCAGCAGATGACCTATCGTCTCTGACTTTACATCTACAGGGTGGACTGACAAGGTAGGACTGTCTAATAGAGTGGACAGTGAGTGGACACAGTGTTTAAAAACTCCAGCAGCACTGCTGTGTCTGATCCACTCGTACCAGTGCAACACACACTAACACACCACCACCAAATCAGTGTTACTGCAGTGCTGAGAATGATCCACCACCCAAATAGTACCTGCTCTGTGAGGGTCCATGGGGGTCCTGACCACTGAAGAACAGGGTAAAAGTGGGCTAACAAAGTATGCAGAGAAACAGATGGACTACAGTCTGTAATTGTAGAACTACAAAGTGCACCTATATAGTAAGTGGTGCTGATAAAATGGACAATGAGCGTAGAAACACAGATGTTTATGCCTGATCGGTGTATGTTTTATTATATTTAGTATTGTGTGTTGTATCATGCATGTGATGTGAACCTAGAACATTCTGTTCTGCCTATTTCTGTCTATCCCTACATGATCACATCTGTCACACCTGTCACTTGTCAATTACAGGCTGGGCCTAATCTTGACCTCAGTCCAGCCTATATGATTGTGACCATTCACTGTTTAATAGGCTGGTTAATTGTCTGGTACCTGCGCAAGAAATTAAGATTCGATTTCCCAGACATAAGGCTGCACCCTGGTTTGGCAGGTTTGGATTCTTTTTTTCTCACTTAGAACTGTAAGTCTGCCTACTGTTTCCCCTTAGTAACAAGATTTCCCAATGCTATTGTTGTATTTATTATAATAAGTAATATAAAAAAAATAAGCAAATAAAGCTGAAAATTCAGAGGCTTTCATTTTGTTGGTTGTGTCTCAGTGTAGTAAACTCAGTGTAACAAACTTCAAGCTAACACTCATAAATCCTTAAATGTAAGACAAGGGGAACGGTGGTTTATTACACCCGGAACTGATATATACTGTAAGATAACAAATTTACTCTGCACAAAGTCCAATCACCAGTACTACACTGTTGCATTCGTTACACACTTTAACCCTTTGAAGGGACACTCCAGCCAAAATGTCTACTCACATCTTACAGCAGTAAGAGTAGTTTTAGTTTAAAATAGACCTGGGCAATACGACAATATCATTATCATATTAAATTACATCACAATGTGTCACAATCTACTTTTCTGAGCATATCACGGATATTGTCAGTACTTAAAAATCCAGCTTTCCAACTGCATTAAAAAGAGAGCAGAATTAGTTCTGTTTAACTGGATTTAATGCAGCACAGTGTGTGAAATGTTGAACACAATTACTTGGTTTTATAGTTTTTGAAAATGTTTTTAAAATGTGGCACTACTCTGTCTGTTCTAACTTACTGGATGTCAGAAAAAATAAATATTGTGGCACACTGTGTATCATAAAAATTTACATTTTACCATTTTGCCCAGCTCTAGTTTAACGACTGGTAAAAACGCCGTTGTGATGATGTACCTTGAATAAACTTAAGAGGAACGTTTAGAAAACTACAACTGTTTTGAGTGGATTTTGGGGGGAGGACTGTTTTTTTTTTTTAGCTGGTGAATGCAGAAGGAAGCCAGATAGCTAATGTTACTGCTATCTTATTGTATCCATATAACTGTAATAACTGCCCTCAAATTATTCTCAAAATAGAGAGAAGGTGTTTCTCATATGACAGAAATGACTCACCAGATCAGGAGCATGATAAGATGAAAAGATAGCAAGGTTAACCTCACCTCAGTTTAGCTCATCTTTCTCTGACTGAGAAGGTAAAAAGCGAATCTCTGCTGCTACTCAGTGCTGACCAGAGACAGAATTGCTGGTTTCCTTACAATGTACTTCAGCAACTGAGGTGAGTTACAGTAATGTTACTATTGTTGTATTTATTAGCCTATACATTAGTGGCTAGGTTAGCAGGCATGATTGGTTGACACCACAGGGATAATCAATGACTGTATAATGTATTTCCATAATGGAAATATGCAAAGTGACCATGACCATTAATGAATGAAAACTTGAAAAAGACATAAAAGCATGATCTCTGTCAAACTGTTGACATCAAGGCAAGATTTGAAAGACCAAGAAAATTCTCTGACAGAACTACTGACTGACCAGGAATGCAAAGCAAAACCCCCACATCACTGATGAAACTGATCTGATGAAATTAGAACATAAATAAATGAAAACATGAAATAGATCATGAACTGTCAACTTGATGAGGCTGAGGAATACAATGCTGCCCAACAGAATACTACATAAAAACATATTGCATATTATTATTATTACTCTGATCAAACACATCAATAGTAAGCGCTTACCAATCAAATTGTGCTATGAATGAGCAATGTATTCAAAAACAAATCCTTGTGTATTGTTTAGACAATGATAGGAAACACTATAGCATGTTTTACTGTGGCTAACATAAACAAACACACACTATAACTCCTTTGGCAGCAGATTTTAACAAGTTACATGGGACATCATTAAAGTATCAGAATGTATCGCTGGCAAAATGCTAGGTGTGGTAGGGTTAAAGCCTGCAAATAACAGGCTAGTTACAGGCAAATAACAAGCTAGCTGCCTTGAACACTCTTCAGCTATCTTAAGGCCTATTATTCTGTAGTCATTGTGAATTATTTGGTAACAAAGGAGTGTGAAACTCATATGTCTTGTGGCAAACATCACACAGTTTCTAGAATTCCTTTGGCTTTTGAATCTGGCTCTGCCTTTGTGCTTATTTATACAAGCTGCTACAGTAATGCTTCAGCCTGGCCTATCTCCAGTGGATAAGACCACATTCTTATGCAGATCAAGGACCTATCTGACAACTCTCTGTCTTGCAGAGTTCAGTCGGTTCTGCTTTGTGAGTGGCAGTCATTAGTCTATAAGAGGACTTAAATGCCCCAGTGAGATTTAGCATTACTGCAATGCAGCACTACTCTACTGTACTGTATTAGTATGCTAATAGAGTGCTACTATTGTGCTGTTCTGACAGCTGCAAGCTGATCAGTTTTAGGTTTTAGCCATTGTTGATGCATGTTCATCTTTCTTTGGCACATTTTTTTTTTTAAGATCTCAGAGCTTATTTGGCTCATTAGGCCCTAATCATAAGTGAGATGAAGACAATTCCAGAGCATAATAAGTTCAGTAAGCTAATAAATTCTGTAAAACCTCTCTAGACGTTATACTTGCACTCACCAGCCATGGGCTCATCAAGTGGCTGACTGGGGATCCGAAACTGAAGATAGACTGACTCTTATAAAGCAAAGGAAGACTATAAAAAGATATTTATAAACGCTTCCTGCTTACAGTTCTCACTGTCTGAAATGCCTTTAATAAACAGGAGAACTGTTGAAGTCAAGACAAGATTTGAAAGACCAAGAAAATTCTCTGATAGAACTGCTCATAGACTGGGCAGGTGTGCAAAGTAAAACCCCCACATCACTGCCTAAGACCTACAGGAAGATTTGGCTGGTACGGAGATAGTGATGTACTTGCTTACTGTGCAGTGTTATTGTATAAACTTTGGCTACATGTAAATGAGTCATCAGAAAGAAAAATTCAAAGTCAACATCTGAAGTATGCAAAACATCTAGATAATCCAGAAGCATTTTGGAATAAAGTTCTATGATTTGAAGAACTTAAATATTCTTTGGCTACAATCATCAAAGGGCTGTTTGGAGAAAAACAAGAGCAGCATTTGATGAAAAGAACACCTTGCCAACTGTTAAGCTTGAGGGTGGATCTGTTATGCTTAGGGGCTGTTTGGCTTTTAATGTTACTGAAAATAGTAGTAGTTGGATCCTAAAAATGCTGTGCATGCAAAACGACCTAAGAGTATTTCTGAATGACAAGCGTTCTGCAAGGAAAACAATCAAGTACAAGATGAAGTAAATACTGTAAGCTGGCTACAAGCAAGGGGATCTCACTAAAAGGGTAAAGTACTGAATGAAACAGTATGTAAATTTATATACACTGCTCAAAAAAATAAAGGGAACACTTAAACAACACAATATAACTCCAAGTAGATCAAACTTCTGTGAAATCAAACTGTCCACTTAGGAAGCAACACTGATTGACAATCAATTTCACGTGCTGTTGTGCAAATGGAATAGACAACAGGTGGAAATCATTGGCGATTAGCAAGACACACTCAATAAAGGAGTGGTTCTGCAGGTGGGGACCACAGACCACTTCTCAGTACCTATGCTTTCTGGCTGATGTTTTGGTCACTTTTGAATGTTGGTGGTGCTTTCACACTCGTGGTAGCATGAGACGGACTCTACAACCCACACAAGTGGCTCAGGTAGTGCAGCTCATCCAGGATGGCACATCAATGCGAGCTGTGGCAAGAAGGTTTGCTGTGTCTGTCAGCGTAGTGTCCAGGCGCTACCAGTAGACAGGCCAGTACACCAGGAGATGTGGAGGAGGCCGTAGGAGGGCAACAACCCAGCAGCAGGACCGCTACCTCCGCCTTCGTGCAAGGAGGAACAGGAGGAGCACTGCCAGAGCCCTGCAAAATGATCTCCAGCAGGCCACAAATGTGCATGTGTCTGCACAAACAGTTAGAAACCGACTCCATGAGGATGGTACGAGGGCCTGACGTCCACAGATGGGGGTTGTGCTCACAGCCCAACACCGTGCAGGACGCTTGGCATTTGCCAGAGAACACCAGGATTGGCAAATTCGCCACTGGCGCCCTGTGCTCTTCACAGATGAAAGCAGGTTCACACTGAGCACATGTGACAGACGTGACAGAGTCTGGAGACGCCGTGGAGAGCGATCTGCTGCCTGCAACATCCTTCAGCATGACCGGTTTGGCAGTGGGTCAGTAATGGTGTGGGGTGGCATTTCTTTGGAGGGCCGCACAGCCCTCCATGTGCTCGCCAGAGGTAGCCTGACTGCCATTAGGTACCGAGATGAGATCCTTAGACCCCTTGTGAGACCATATGCTGGTGTGGTTGGCCCTGGGTTCCTCCTAATGCAGGACAATGCTAGACCTCATGTGGCTGGAGTGTGTCAGCAGTTACTGCAAGATGAAGGCATTGAAGCTATGGACTGGCCCGCCCGTTCCCCAGACCTGAATCCGATTGAGCACATCTGGGAAATCATGTCTCGCTCCATCCACCAACGTCACATTGCACCACAGACTGTCCAGGAGTTGGCGAATGCTTTAGTCCAGGTCTGGGAGGAGATCCCTCAGGAGACCATCCACCACCTCATCAGGAGCATGCCCAGGCGTTGTAGGGAGGTCATACAGGCATGTGGAGGCCACACACAATACTGAGCCTCATTTTGACTTGTTTTAAGGACATTACATCAAAGTTGGATCAGCCTGTAGTGTGTTTTTCCACTTTAATTTTGTGTGTGACTCCAAATCCAGGCCTCCATTGGTTAATAAATTTGATTTCCATTGATGATTTTTGTGTGATTTTGTTGTCAGTACATTCAACTTTGTACAGAACAAAGTATTCAATGAGAATATTTCATTCATTCAGATCTAGGATGTGTTATTTGAGTGTTCCCTTTATTTTTTTGAGCAGTGTATTTTATGTTTTCTTTTTTTCTCAGAATGTTAAATTCAGCAAATAAATCATAATTGCCTACAGAAATATATTATTATATAAGTTTGTTCCATGTAATAATATATTATTATATATAAGTTTGTTCCATGCAGAGGTGTCAACATTACATGACAAAATTTGTCATTTGTATGTAAAAAAGTTTGTCTACTACTACTTTCTCTGTTTTTCTCTGTTTATTATTTTTCTTTTAATGTTGTCCTTCTATACACATATAACATATGAATAATATATAGAATTTTTAGACCTTCTATTTATATGCTATTTTTTTCTACTTTTTTATGTTTCCTCAACAGCATTCTTTTAAAGCATGGGTTCCTAACTTTTTCATGCCAGGACCCACATGTACATTCGTATGCAAAAATTTGAACATTCATGGTGAAATTACATGTTTTGTTTATTTCAAAGTGAAAATAAGTCAACACATCCTGTACAGAGAATACACAAATATGACATTTTCCTGCAAATCTTAGTGCACAATTTCTATGTATTTGCTTAGTTTAACATATTGTAAAGAAAAAAAATATACATAAATAAATAAAATGTGCTGTAAGCCATGTTTTATGTTTTTTCTCCCAATATATTAAATTCAATAACTAAACAGTAATTGTGCATTAAAATCTGCAAAGGTGTGTTCACAGCAGAGGACATGTTAAATTATTTTCTCAACAAAACGTGTAATTTGACCAGGGGTGGCGTGGACGGTATTTAGAGACCTTACTTTTGCATGCGGTGCAGGTTTTGTATGCTGTTCAATAAACCTGACCTTTACTCTCAAACTGAGAATGAAGAAACAAGGTAAAAACATTGTTCCAGATTCCACAAATTCAGTGATCATGTACAAGGTTTGCTCTCTGAATGATGTTCTCATAGTACAACACTGCTTACTAAAGCCCCCCACACACTGAGTATTATTTAAATAGTAAATGCATTTGAACACATGTTTTGCACAGTGTATGCAATATTTCTGGATGGTGAAAATGCATCATTTTATTACTCGCACTCTGATTTCTGCAGGTGACATGAGCCCACTCCACCAATATCAAACTGGGCTATAACATTCAAGTTATATGTGAAAGCACACAAAATATTATCTTGACCACAGAATCAAAAATTGTATGGAACCTAAAAATATGTGGACCGTTAAACCCCTAATGCTCACATATTCAGCTATGTGGACTGGAGGTTTCTGAGTTGGACCTCAGAACAGAGGCTCATTTAGGAGTGATTAGTAAGTAGATTTGGAGTGTCCTACCCTCGGCCCCGTCTTCTCCATGTATCCCTCTTTCAGGAAGTTGCGTGTCAGTTTGGGTTTTAGCTGAAAGAGGAAAGAAGACATGAAGGCTTTTGCTAACTCTGGGTTTGCGTGAGCAGTTGCAGTGAGTAGGTGTTTTGGCTATTTCAGCTGAAAAGAATATGACTAGCATCTGTGGTATTTAAAACAATAGCACATCAGGGGGAGTAAAGAGTCCATTCAGGGTATTAAAAGGAAGTAAAAAGGAGAAGAGGGGTAGTCTTAAAATATAAACGACTGCATGGGTGAAGGCATGTGTGTATGTGGTGTCAGTGTGCATGAGAACTCTGCATTACCTCACCTCAATGTCAGAAGCTCCAGGAAAAGCTACTTTAAGGTAGTGAAACTGAACCGCTCGGATAGAATTAAACCAGTCCACTATTTCCTGAGAGAGAGAGAGAGAGAGAGAGAGAGAGAGAGAGAGAGAGAAATGAAGAGAGACTGAAAACAGCTGGACATATATAATATCAAAAGTCAAAGTGGCCATTAAGTACAAATTGTTCTTATTTCAGGTGACATTTTTGAGGAGATAAGATATAAAATAACTAACTTGCATAACGGAGGAGAAATTATAAGGAAAATATGTGAAAAAACAGCAAGAAAAATCCTGGTAGACCACCCAAACTGTCCCCATCAGAAAAACTGTACTTCAAGTTTCCATCTTTTTTTGGAATTCTGAGAACAATGGAATCTCAACATCATTAAATGTGAGATTGTTTGGAACACGAGAAGCAGGAAATGCGAACGACCTCTAAGACTGAACTTTAGAGGTGTGGAGTTGAAACCCTGCAGACTTCTTTGAAAGTCTGCTGAACAGAATGGAAGCTGTAATAAAGGCAAAAAGTGGACACACTAAATAATGAAAAAAGATACTGTATTCAGTTGCTGAGGCTTCTCAATCTGTAATTTTCTGTTAATAATTTTTAATACATTTCTTTTTTTCTGACACTGAAAAATTAATAACTTCTATTTAATGGCTGTTTTGACTGGAAATTAAATAAATGAACGGTGGTCTTTGACTTTAGCACAGCACTATAGATGTAGAGTAGGACTTTATGATATAGCCAAAACACCAGCATTGCGATTTGACTGCAACATATTGAAATGGCTTGAATTATTTTGGCCAAAATAATTTGCTTTTGCTGGATAACACAAACATTTCTGATCCATCAAAACACCCACAGAAACACTTATCAGGAATAGGGATGTGCGTGGGTAGTCCCGCACTAAAGTCATTATTCGGGTATTTGGGAATTGATATGTGTCGTTATGGGACGATAACACAGGCTAACAATTTAGTAAAACACCAATTTTATGTTTTACCAGGGCTGTAAACTGTAAGTAAGCCTACAGCCCTACATTAAAAGATAACTCCACTGATTTTTCAAAATTTCTCTCTGATTAAATTGTTAAAATGTAAACAAAGATATTCAAATTGGTTTGGTGTGAAATAGGGAAACTTAACAAGTCAGAGTCGTTCACAGTGGTGGTGATAGGAACCAGACGTCTGAAGTGTTTAATGCCTCTAAAAGCTAATACGCAGAAAGTTATTATATGAAACGGTTTTTAATATGCTGCCTGATGAAGACGTTGTATGATAGTTTTGAGACAAAATTTTCATCTAAAAAGATCTTATATACTGATTCAGGGTGGAGAAGTACATGCAAGGAGTTTTTTTTCTTTTTTCAGATGTACCACTATTATGCCATCACCAACATTACCTATAATAACTCAAAAGACACATATAGGTTCACTAGTCAGTCACCACCATTGTGAAGAAATCTGTAAGCTTCTTTACAGTGCAACCACATCAAAACACACCAAATTATTTCTTAATCTGAAGATTTATCATTCAGTATCCACAATAAATTATTCTGTAAGTACTATAAATATGAGGTGTAAGTTCAGTCGTTATGATGCTCCTTTAGGGTTCAAGGGGTTAACAGTGGACACTTCTGCTGTGAACTATTTAGACAGAAATAGATACTAGATTAATATATCACTCGTCTCTTAAACTACTCTGTCAGCAGTTCTCTGGGCAGTGTCAAACCTTGCTGCTTTCATGGTAGAGGAAGATGTTGCGTGTGCTGAAGTCTTTCAGGTACGTGATCTGGAGGCCATTAGGGTGGCTAATTTTCTCCGGCTGGAAGGACGCATTGATGGTATCCACCTTAATTATGGCTTTAGGCTCCTTAGCCTGTAAGAGCACAGAGACATGAAGAGGTTCAGAAATATACAATCACACATGCAGGACATCAGGAAACAACACACGAGCATTCATAAACAGGCGTGCACACATATTCCAGCACGATAGATATTTGTTTAGACAGATGAGCTTATCTGATTTTTGATCCATTGAACTGATGCCTTTCTTTCACTAGAAGCCTGAGACATACAATATAATCTAATCAATTAACATCTTGAACACACGTTTAGTCACAGTCAAAACTAAACACTAAAAAAACAGATACCATTTCTGCATTAGTGACCTCTGAAAACACACATATCCAGAATCATTGACATCCTTTAGGAAAATTAGCTAAAATCACTAGTAAGTAACCCACATATGCAATGACTGATATTCTAGGCTTAAGCATTTAAGCTGCACATTTTTGGTTCTGGACTTAAAAAAGCACTTAAAAAATCATAGGTTTCAAAAATATTGACACCCCACTATTAATATTTGGTGAAGCCTCAACTGGGAAGAATAACAGCACTTTCTGTAATACTCAGCAAGATTTTGGCCCTCTACTCAGAATATTTCGACTTTCTTGATTTTCTTGGGTCTTTGCTTGTGGACAGCTCTCTCTAACACACTACAGGTCAAATCTGGAGAATGAGAGGGCCAAAACTGATTTTGTGTTTCTGTCACCATTTCTGCATGGATTGTAATGTGTGTTTAGGGTCATTATCTTGCAGTCTATCAATGTCCAATTTTCAGCCCTTTGGCAGAGGCAAACTGATTTTAGCCGAATTCATTATGCCTATGACTTTCACAAAAGCCCCTGGACCACTAGCAGCAAAAAAAGCCCCAAAGCATCAGTGATCCACCTCCATATTTGACAGCAGATATCAGGCTCTTTTCACTGTATGCAGTCCCTTTTCCCACCGAAACTGACGATGATGTGCAAGACCAAAAAGTTCAAGTTCATCTGACCACATCACAGTACTCCATTTGTAGTTCCGATAACATTTTGCATAATTCACACACTGCATTTTGTGGCTTGCTCTTAGCAAAGGCTTCTTTCATGAAGCTCTTCCATCAAGCTTCTAGTCATGGAGGTGGAAATTTGAAAACCCCAAGATTCAACTAAACTCCAGTTTTCACTGCCAGTTTTCCTGGCAAATTTTCAACTGTTCTTTGCTTCTCAAACTCTTTTCTATTGCTCTGATTGTGTTAAATGGTAATCTCAACTGACAAAACCTTTTATAACCATTTCCTTATCTGTGCAGATCCACAACCAACTGTCTCATTTGAGTTGAGTGTTTGGTTTTACTCATGAATAGATGACTGACCACAGTAACATTAACCACAGTAACCAATAAAAAAACACGGATTTCCCCTTTAAGTTGTAACAAAATAAAACATGGTGCTTTTGTAAAATTGCTTGAAATTTTCAGAACCATTTTGCTCATCCTGACATTGTAGGTTTGTTTTTCTCTGATTTTCTCACAATGTCAGGACAATTTTATCTTCAAAAACTATAAAAACAAACACGCACACATACATTAGTATTTCCGCCCTATTGGAGTATTTCCATTTTCTTATTTTCGCTATACCTACTGTTAAACCTAACCCTAACTATAATCTCAGTGACTTAAATATTACAACACACTATAAGCGTTTTGGGAACTGAGGAGGCACTGCTGTATTTCTGCAAGTGATACGTTTTCCCATTCTTATTTAACATAGGATTTCAGCTGCTCATCAGTTCAGGGTCTCCTTTGTCATATTTTTCATTTCATAATGGGACAAATGTTATCTTTGGGTGACAGATCTGGACTGCAGGCAGGCCAGTTTAGCACCCGGACTCTTTTTATACGGAGCAATGCTGTTGTAATACATGCAGAATGTTGTTTTACATTGTCTTGCTGAAATAATCAAGGCCCTGAAAAAGACATCATCTGGATGGCAGCATATGTTGCAAAAACATGTACATCATTCAGCATTAATGATGCCTTCACAGATGTGCACGTCACTCATGCCATGTGCACTAATGCACTCCTACACCACCATGAATACTGGCTTTTGAACTGTGCACTGATAACAAGCTGAGTGGTCTTTAGCCCAGAGGACGCAGTGTCCATAATTTCCAAAAAGAATTTCAAATGTTGATTTGTCAGACTACAGGACACTTTTCCACTTCCTCTCAGTCCATTTTAAATGAGCTCAGGCCCAGAGAAGCTGCCAGCATTTCTGGATCCTGTTTATATATGGTTTCTTCTTTGCATTTTAGGGTTTTTACTTGCATTTGTGGATGCAGCGACAAACTGTTTTCACAGACACTGGTTTTCAGAAGTGTTTCTGAGCCCATGCAGTGATTTTCCTCTAGAGAATCATGTCTGTTTTTAATGCAGTGCTGCCTGAGGGCTCAAAGAACACGGCCAGCAAATACTGGTTTATGACCTTGTTCCTCGCATACAGAGATTTTCCCAGATTCTCTGAATCTTTTAATGATATTATATACTGTAGATGATGAAAAGCAGAGGTTCTTTGGTATTTTACATTTACATTATTACAGGAACATTATTATTGAATTGCTGCGCTATTTGCCTGCATAGTCTATCACAGAGTGGTGAACACCTCCTTATCTTTACTCCTGAAAGACTCAGCCTCTCTGGGATGCTCTTTTTATACCCAGTGATGTTACTGACCTGTTGCCAATTAACCACCAGGTGTTTTTTTAGCATTACACAACTTTGCCAGCCTTTTGTTGCCCCGTCCTAACTTTTTGGAAAGTGTTGTTGGCATCAAATTCAAAATAGGCAAATATTTTTCAATAAAACAATAAAATTTCTCAGTTTCAAAATTTGATAAGTTGTCCTTGTTTGCGCATCATTTAATTTTGTTTTTATTTACATTTTGCACAGCGTCCCAACTTTTTTGGGGTTGTATATTGTAGCTGCATTTTATGTGTGTGTGTGTGTGTGTGTGTCTGTGTGCGCGCATGTGTGTGTGTGTGCGTGTGTGTTTTCCATGTCGGAAACAGCCACATGTCAAAATTTCATCGCCCTAGGGTGCATTTGGTCACGACAAAGAGCTAAATATGTGTCTACACACACACACACATATTCTAGCCACACCCAATTTAGAACCAGGAGAACCTGCTGATAATATAAACAGACATGATCTACAGGTCCAGCAGTGCTGACCCAGTGGAGAGGCTGTGTAAGCAGACTGAAGGGCAGAAATTGGCTCTCAGCATCCACACATCCTCTCCGCCAGCAGCAACACCTGAATATTTCAAACACTATTACAGCAGGGCACTCAGGCCAGTTCACCCCAATCTATACGCTCAGTGCTCACAGCTGGAGGTAGAGAGAAAAATCTAAACAGCTCTGAGTGCACAGTCAGGATTTGCCCAGCTAAGCGACTTGACTGCTAGCAAATACTGCTCACACAGTTTGCTCTGCTCCAACAGCATTTGACACAATTACCCAGAAGAACAGGAAGTCAGTTGCTAGACCTGTCAGAACAGGTCTAGCAGCAACATGCCATATATGACTCTCTAGGAAACCCCATTTAACCCATAACTGGGATGTTTACTGTTTCTATAGCATTTGGGCTCATAATCATCTGTATAAAAATGTCACATTTTGATGATCCTAAGCTGTAATAAAAGCAATCGTTCTACCATTTTTCCCCTTACTTAAAGGCATGTTTGATGTCCAGTGTTTTTGGACTGGAGCTGCAAGGCTAAACACAGCTAAAATAAGGCAATAGATACAGTGGTCAGGTAACTATAAGTTAGCTTTACAAGACCAACTTACTGGTCTTTATCATCATCATCATCATCATCATCATCATCTTTTTCATTTTCCTCTTCTTTTTATTTTCATTCTAAGCTTTTTTTGTGCCCTTTTCATGGGCCTCAGTTTTAAAGAGGAACCACGAAACTTTGCACGATCTTAAAGCCTGTATGGGAATAGCACTCCAGGCACCAATCGTATGTACCGTTTTCATACAGTGTCCATTCAAATATGATTTTTCCCCAAAGGAATGAATGCTGGACTGTTGAGAAAACTAAAATCTAACTGCCACAAAAGATGCCACAAAGGACATCCCAAGCACTGACCCAGACATTACATACAGACCACTTTGGACACCATAGCAACACCTTAGCAACCAGCTAGAACAACTCAGTAATGGTCTAGAAAGATGTTTACAACCACAATGAATGCCATAGCAATGGTCTAGCAACACCTTAGCAACCACCTGGGGTAACATAACAACAGCCTAGCAACACTTTAGCAACCACTTGAGGTGACATAACCAAGGCTTAGCAGCACCTCAGCAACCACTTGAGGTAACATAACCAGGGCCTAGCTGCACCTTAGCAACCACCTGGGATACCATAGCAATGGTCTAGTACACACTTAGGTATGTACTGTGGTATAGTACATGTATCGTGACTAGCATATTAGCTTGTGGCTAAAGCGTTAGATCAGAACACTATTTATAGATTGTTTCATCTTTTGTTCTGAATATTGTACTTTTATAATGCTGAATGCTCTAATACACTGAAAATGGCAACATCTGTCACTGAAAACGAACACATCAGATCAAATAATGACTTTTGGGAATCATTACACCCCTATATGTGGCTGAATTAGCTTACTACCTCTGGCTAGCTACAAAGTCTTTTTTGCCATCTCATTAGATTTAGTACTTTAGTTTAAACGCATTAAGTAAATCCAGTGAGCTTTAGAGTGAAATGCAGAGTGACGACAGCCTGTTGGCTGCTAACTAAGCTAACAGTGGAAGTATTCCCACAACGGCCACACACGTCAAATGCAAATAATCATACATTTAGCCAAGGAAGTACAGGAACAATGATGTTTTTTTATTTCCATATCATCTACATGGGTCGCTTGAAGCTTCTCTTTTTGGCTTTGATGTGAGTGACCTGTGGGCTTTAGTCTCTGTTGATTCTTTTAGTGCTATTGGCTGCAGAGAGATCGCAATGTAATGTCTTTAAATGCACACTCAAGACCTTTTTGTCCACTCTTAGGGTGCATTTAGTAGGTTTGGTTTGATTAAAACCAACTCCGGTGCGATTGCTTGTTTACTGTTCATTAGAGCAAGTGAGACCTCGGGCGTGCATCAAATAAGTGGTCCGAGACCCCCAGAGCAGGTCTGTCTCAGTCTGCCCCAAAAAAGAACTCTGGTGCGGTTCATTTGGTGTGAGAATGTAATACATACCAAAGATGCTCAAACGGACCAAAGACAGAATGAATTACTGTCTTTCACCATGCATAACTTTAATGATACATGGATAAGACGAGTTTTTGAAGCTGTTTTGACACGTGTGTTTTATCTTCTCTTCAAAAGCTCTGAATTGGTAATTATAGAATGGATAGTCTCACCTTTAAAGTGATGTGAGGCACATTTCAAGCCATTATAAAATACTCTATATACACATTTGAATGCCCACATAACTTAAAATATGTATTCAAGTGCCATGTTCTCTTCGGTTTGTGAAAGCAGTGAGCCACTCAAGGCTGTTACAGGGATTTCACCCTGTTTTGTGTCGTGCAAAACCACAGTAACGCAGGAAGTCTTGTGGCTTATAGCTCTAATATCACAAGACAGATAAAGCAAGACATAAATAAAACCAGTGAGCCCAGGCAGACCAGAGAAAAGCATGATTGAAAAAGTTTGGTAGACATTATTATTATTATCATTATTACATCATCAGTTGTGACTTTTCATCCGTATGACTTTTATTTACATCTCTTGGTTCCATGTTAAATTTGTCAGCGTGGGTTCTAAAATGTACTAGAACTAAAATGCAACAGTGCATCATTTCCTGCTTTGGTTCAGGTGAAGAGAACTGAACTACAAGTATAAACACAGCCTTACTTTCTGAAATTTCTGAAAACATTACTCCAAAAAAAATATTAACCATGGGGTTTGGCCTTAGCTGTTAGTGGTTTTTGTTATCGTTACGCTTTTGATGAATGCCTCTGTCTTGAATAAGTTCATTTGGGTTGCCAGGGTAGCTGCAAAATATGTTTCACTCAAATTATCACTGTCCAATCTTTCTCCTCCCCCATTCAGGCCTGGCAATAGGAAGCTCATACCCACCCATTAGCATTGAGCAACCTGCATGCCTAAATCATTGCACACTTGCCTCAAACCACACTGAGTTATTAAGTAATCTCAACAGACTTGTGCACTCTGACAATGTGTAATATACTGTGAACTAAAAAAGTACATCACACAGCTAAAAACATCCCCCAAAACTGCCCATACTCGTCCATTTTAGACAGATACTCATCTGAACATGTGCAGAAAAGAACTCAGAAAGATACGGAAGTATGTCTGGACATGTTTTTACCCCTTAAACTCTAGGCTTATTACACAGCTCTTTACCAAAATGTATTTTTCAATAACTACTTTTGAATATTTGTTGATTACTACGTAAATTCTGTAGTTTAATTGGTTAAACAGATTTGTATTTTTTTACATACACCAGATGTTAACTGTCATTAATTCAAATAGAACGTGTTACATGTAAATTCACTGTCTTTAGCAATAAGCCAGGAGAGGCTGTGCATTATAGTGACCCCTCCTTGCAATGAGGCCCCCTAAACTGCGGTAAAATCACTGTAACATACAGGCCAGAGAGGCTTAGTTTTATGAAATTTTGATAAAATCTAATATGATATAATATACGTACTTTTCAATAAAACACTAAACAATAATAATAATAATAATAATATCCACAATTCCTTTGCTAAGTAAGCTCACATGTCATTTGACCAGGGGCGCACAGACTTTTGCCTTCGACTGTATATACAGCATTCTGTGACTCACATCAAACTTAGTGAAGTACTTCAGCGTCCCCTCCCTCTCTGACAGGACAAATCGTCTGCTGAAGAACTGACCGTTGTCCCGTCCTCTCTTCATTAGCATTCCATCTCTGGTGCCTGTGATTAGTGAAAAACTTTTTCATGAGGAAAAGTAAGAACCCAGATGAAAATGAAAGCCTCGTCACAGCATCATAAAGGCTTCTACTGGTAAAACGTTATATCCAGCCGCTGATCTGAGACCAATTATGTTTTCCATTATAACGGTTAAAAGAACTGATTCCATATCAGTCTTCACTCACCCTCTTCATATACCAGCGGTGACGGCTTCTGACCCTGAATAAACTCCAACCTCTCATACTTAGCTCTGATCCACTGCTCCTTCAGGACTCTGAGAACACACACACACATTAAACAGGGTGCCATGTACAGAGCTCACACGTCAGACTCTCATAGACTTAGATTTTTGTATTATATCCTTCGTTTTCCTTGAGGTCTACTTATATGATGCTTGCATGATTTTATAGGCCAAAAACAGTTTGTTTTTACACGACCAACTCCAACCTCGCTTTATCCCATAGGATTAGGCATCCTGCTTTTGTTACTGTCCTTTTTCTATGTAAATGATCTCTGTTCTGATTGGCTGTGGCTTGTTCAAAGCGCAGTCTGGGCTCAAACACTCCAAACACTCATGACATCTCGGAAACTATTTATTCTAAACAAGCTGTTTTTGCAGCATGTGGGCTGTATTGACTGGGGAGTGCATGGTACTTTTTGATACTTCAACAGTGTTTAAATATTATTCCAAACTCCTTTATTTAAATAAAAATGCAGACAAAAAAAAATAATTGCCTATTAACCAATTTGGCAGTAAAGATATCAGAATCAGTTGTAAAAATTCATGACCGGTGCTCCTCTAGTATAAGGTATATGCAGATCAGGCTGGTTTGGGTTAAGGGGTTAAAGAGGTGTGCAGTAAGACCAGCTGCTGTGAGCTAACATGTCACTAGAAGAAAGAGACATCTAATACATTACAGTAAAGCCAGTCCTGTGCCATTCTGGTATAATAATTTTAGTCACAAGACCCTTTTTGGTCTCAACTGTGTATCTGGTCAAGGCCATCATTCATTATGAGTTGAAATAGTAATATGCCTATTTTATTTTGGGGTTTTTATTGGTTGAAAGTCTTGAAATACCCTCAAGAAAACTGTCCAGTGAGGATTGTTCTCTGTGGTATGTGCCCAGATACAGCCAAACAAGTTCTCCCATTGGTTAGGACTTCAGGAGCTGGACAGAAGATCTTCCATGTTAGATTAGCTAACATACTTAGAAACTCACAGTAGAATCAACCAGTTACATTTTGACTTACAACGGGTGGGATGGAACGTCTTTTCCATGTTTTTTCCAAGCTTCAAATATAATATATATCTAGACTAATCTAGAATGGCAAAAAATGTTCATCTGCACCAGCATTAGCTTTGCCCTGATGTACTATCAGAACTCTCATATGAGTGCTAGCAGAAGTTAGCATTATTGTACACTCTTATAAAAGATGGTTCTTCAAGGGTTCTTTGGTAAAGACAATAGTTCTATCTAGAACCATGAACAATCAAAGAACCCTTTGTATGATTAAAGGGCTTATAGCACCATGACAGGGTTCTTCAGATGGATGTAGATGTAAATGGATCTATATAGAAACAATCTGAAAAGTGTTCCATATGGCATCAAAAAGGGTTCTTCAACTGTAACAAGACTGACATCATAACAATAGCAGAACCCTTTTTAGTGCTGTATAGAACCCTTTTCAAAAAAGTTTTAATATAAAATGTATCTGTCCATCTACAGCACATTCTCCACCAATCTGAAGAGCCCTTTCACGATGCAAAGAACGTTTTAATCATGCAAAGCGTTCTTTAATTGTTCATGGTTCTATATAGAACCACTGTCTTTACTAAAGAACCCTTGAAGAACCGTTTTTTTAAAGGGTAGAGGTGGGTTTTGGCTTGTATTTTTGAGCAAGTATTGACATTTAAGGTTCAAACTGAAGGCCTAGCTGTAACAGTCATGGTTCAACACTACTTTTATACTCACTTATAGACTGAAAGTGCAGATTCAAGGCTGTCAATCAATACCACAATAAGGGGAGATATTTTACGTAACACTGTAGAAAGTAGAGCAAATGGGCAATGGCAATTCTAGACTTCAAAGGATTTTAACGGGGCAAAATAGGGCTGATAACAGGGATTCAGAGAAAGGCAGAACATATGAAAATGTAGCTTAGGGCAGCTGCTTATTCAGCAGTAAAAAGGGGCCTAATGACTCCCATTCATATTACAGTTTTCCCTTTCATTTCCAATTACAGCTTTAATGAATTTTGCACCAGTTCTAGTTACACTTGCTGTAACTCCAATCTCAGCTGAGCACCAGCAGATGGCCACCTTAACCCCCAACCTAACCCCCCAACCTGGCACTTCACAAACACTTAAAGCACCTGTTTCAATGCTGGCAACAAAGAGCATTTCAATCTGTCTGCTCGGAGAACTGCCTCGATTTGAGGGTCGAGGGTGGATATTATTCTGTAGACCGGCGCAGCCTTCTGCTGCGTCTGGAGCTGAAGCATGAGCTGTCACACAACTAAGGCTTTCTGCAGGCTGGCAGTGTTGCTATGGCGACTTACTGGCAGTCCTTGTGAGTGGGTTTGTAGTAGTACACTGGCACCTGAGCCTCATATTTACTCCTGGCCACCTCGTTCCCATTCTCTGCCATGAACTGAGACACAGAGAAGAAATCACTCAGAACATATGGCTACATGGCAAATGAAGGCTGAAGAGGCAGGAACACACAGAAATACATAAACACTCGCATCAGTGCATCATGATAAGAAGGTAGCGAATCAATATAACTGATTTTGGAATGGTAGCATGAGTTATAATGTATTATAACATAACAATATTTCATAATATTCCATGTGGGAACATTTTGGCCAAAAGAAAGTTTTCAGGCAATTTTAAAAAATGCTTAGTGTTTTTTTTATTAGTCTTTTTAGTGTATTTTTAAAAGCAATTCTGAATTGCAGGAAGACAATGGAAAAATATCTTTATTATCATTATCATTATCATCACTACTTAATTGATTAATTGCGTGATATTATGTCACAATATTCTTTTCTGAGCATATTATGGATACTGTTAGTGACCAATTGCCTGTTTCATTACAAAGAGAGTATAAAGTCCTCTGTAAGGACTTTAATTGGACGGAAGTATCATGAATTGTACAGTATATGAAACACTGTACACCGATGTTGGAATCATATCAGTATCTGCAGATAATTATGTAAAAATATTAACATCAAACAGATGTTTAGATTTGATGAAAAGTGTGTTTTTCACATTTAAATTTGAAATATTTATTGTACACAGAGCATTTAGACAATTACAAAACCCAATATTATAATATTTTTTTCCCAATAATGTACATTATTAACAAAAACAAACATAATATACAATATTATAATATTATTATAAAATAATTTTGTAATGTAAGAAACATAATAAAAAATTGCACTTGGTGAAAAATGTACTATTTTGCCCAATAATATAATATGTCTTCAAAGATAATGTACTAATACTTTTACCAATAATGTAATACATTATTGGGGATTTATTACATTTTGAGGCTGACCATTTGTAATGTCTTGAAATGCATTATATATGATGCAAGTTATTTTTCAGTTTGTTTTTAAAATGGACGATGTAATACTTTTAAGAGCGGTTACCAAAAGTCTTGCCTAGCTTTCCTAGTCTGGAAAAAGTAATAAAGTCTAATGAAAATCAAATGAAAGAAATAATGTTTATGAGAAAAGCAGTAAATCAGACAAATTTGACCAGAACACAACTGCAGCGCCAACAGTGGTGCCATCTGTTCTTCTCAATAATGTAATAAGACATTAAGGTATTAAATTTTCAGTAAAAATCTTATAACATTATCAGTTAAGACATATGTATTGGGCAAGTTATTACACTATTGGGTAAGTTATTAGATTTTAATACATTTTTGACCAAGTTATGTGCAAAATGTTATACCATTTCTGAACGTTAATAGATTATTGAGTCATTATTAAATTAATGCATGATGCTGAGTTAAGTATCTGCATTTTATTCATTTCACTGCATCTGTATCCCTACAGAAATAAATGTATGGGTGTGTATTGTATATGCACCTCTATCAGTAGTGCATGCATATGTAAACTGTCACTGTCCAAAAAAATAAATAAATAAAAATAACTCTATGTGTGTGTGTGTGTGTGTGTGTGTGTGTGTGTGTGTGTGTGTGTGTGTGTGTTACTTACCTGCACCTCTGAGTCCTCCCATCGGGACAGTCGGAGAGATTTCACTTTCGCATGATCTGGAAGGTTCCGGTGGATTCCAGAACAAGTCAGACAAATGAACACTCCCAAAGAACAGGACCCCCACTCAGGATCTAATCAGAAAGAGAAAAAGATACATATTTATGACTCAGTAATGTATCAAACTCTGTCTCCTCATAAAACAGAAACACAGCTCCATGTTAGAAACCCCCAATGCTAATAAAGTACATGAGAAATGGCCTTTGGAAACATGTAATCATGTCATGTTAAAATCAAGTTGTTATATAAACCCTTTAAATCTTGATCTGTATGTGGATCCACAGTTTAGTTCCAAATAATTCATTCTGATTTATTATTATTTCTGCATAGATCAATGGTCAAAAGGCAAACAACGTCATTCATCGTGGTTTGATCTAAAATGGTGCAACTTCATGATTTAAGATAAGATAAGATAAGCTAATCCTTTATTAGTCCCACAACAGGGAAATTCTCAGTGCTACAGCAGCAAAGGGAGAGCAAGGCACTCAAGAAAAAGAAAAGAAGCATTAACAAGCAAGTAATTAACCTTGTTACTATATAGACAAGTTATATAATACTAAAAGTAAAAAACAAAGATAAATATATAAACTCTGTCTTTCACAAAAATTAACAATATAATGAATTATAAATAAATAAAAGCAAAAATATTTACACTGTAAGGATTTTTTACCCGAATTTCACATACAATATTGCACATGAGGTACTGGTTTATATTACATGTGGGATGGTGAGGAATATAAACATTCTAAATAGAAAAGCAAAAAATCTTTATACTATAAAAATTATTGCACATGGAGTATTGATTATATTGCACACAGGAAATAGTGATGAATTCCACAGTTAATGTTCTGTAGGTGTTTGAGGTCTAATGAGAGGTGGGAGGTTCTACTGGGAGCAGTGCTGGTTGTACAGTCTAACAGCAGCAGGAAGGAAGGACCTGCGATGGCGCTCCTTCACACACTTGGGGTGAAGCAGTCTGTCACTGAAGGAGCTGCCCAGTGCTGTCAGAGTCTCATGCACGGGGTGAGAGCTGTTCTCCAGCGTGGATGCTAGGCCGGCTAACACCCTCCTGTCTCCCACCGTCCGCACTGGGTCTGTTCTTCCCAGAACAGAGCCAGCCATCTTAATGAGTCTGTCAAGTCTCTTCCTGTCTGCAGGTGAGATGCTGCTGCCCCAGCAGAGCACTCCGTAAAAGATGGCTGATGCCACAATGGTCAAAGAGTGTCCTCGGGAGTGCCCCCAACACTCCAGACGACCTCCTTAGCAGGTAGAGTCTGCTCTGGCCTTCCCTATAATTCCTATAATTTCCTATAATATATTTATTTATAGTGGTGGTGATGGGAACCAGGCGTCACAATGTTCACGACACATATATGACTATTTTATTTGCTAACCAAAAAAACTACATGTGAGGTTTTATATGAAATGTTGATGATGGTAAAACAGTGGTCCACATGTTTTCTTTAAGGACTATTTTGCCGCACAAGAGCGCCACAAACGACATTTTGGCCCAAAAATGTATCTCAGAACTATTATTAAACATGTTTCAGGCATCAGGCAACACATCTGTAACCAGCAACAATGTGTGATACCTGTTTGTGATGTAGCTCTTGAAGACATTAAATATTTCAGATGTCTGGTTCCTATGACCACCACCACTCTAGTTTATCTAGAATGGAGTATTTCACATCAAACCACTCTGACTTCTGTCTTAACAACTGAATTTTGAACATTCAGTGGAATTATAAGCATCAATCTGCAGGGTTAATCATATATTAGTGTTATGTATACTAAGTTATTACTGTAACCTTATATCAGCTTATTGTGTTATAATTTAAATGCACAGTTGCAGTGGGTGCCTTTCACGATTTCATACATTCACTAATTTCGCTTTCCCACACTGTTTACCTGAGAATGCAGTCATTTTGTTCTTTATGAGTGAAACTGATGTTCAACTACAGTGTTCAGTTTTAATTAGGTGTGAAGCTGCAGGCTTTTATGAGATCTAATGCCTGTCTTACTGCTCTGCACCTCCCAGCCAGCCTGGCCTGAAAACACTGCAGAGTGCCAGAGGTGTTGCAGAAAAATCTGACTCAGCCAAAATGTGACACGTCACACAGTAAGAGTCACAAAACAGGGAAGAGAAACGAGTATCTAATACAGTCAGTGCTATTAAGCAATAATTACTTTCTGTAAGCCTGTAAAGCCCCATTCAGAGAGCCTGCAAGCCTGTAAAGCCCCTAAACCTTGAAATGCACCAAGGCTGAAAAGCTTGAAACTGTGTGTGTGTGTGTGTGTGTGTGTGTGTGTGTGTGTGTGTGTGTGTGTTTGTGTAGAACAGAAGGGAACCCTCATGGCCATCTAGACCAAATGATTTCTGTAATATTTAGTTCCTTTAATTCAATAGAATCATGTCTGTATTTAAACTCTGTATTTAAACTCTGTATTTACTACTCTTATTTTGTTGTTAAGTTGGATGGAAACAAAAGGGTTAACCCTTGTGTGGTGTTGATGTTTTTGTTACTCAGTGGTCTGGTGGACCCACCGCATTATTGGTTTTTTAAATCAATAATGATCCACCACCCAAATAGTACCTGCTCTGTGAGGGTCCATGGGGGTCCTGACCACTGAAGAACAGGTTAAAAGGAGGCTAACAAAGTATGCAGAGAAACAGATGGACTACAATCTGTAATTGTAGAACTACAAAGTGCACCTATATAGTAAGTGGAGCTGATAAAATGGACAATGAGCGTAGAAACAAGGAGGTGGCCACAATGTTATGCCTGATCGGTGTATGCTGCAGTTCAGGGTCTTACACAAAGCAAAAAAATCCCCCAAAACTACGGAAACACTTCACTGCAACATCATTAACAAAAAGCCAGGTGGGCATGGCGTGCAGTGCCAGCGTCATGTGAGAGACTATACATTGCTTCCACAGCAGAACCTCGGCATGGTGAGATACCGCAGTCTAAAGTGAAAAACAGCTCTTCATTGTCTGCTTTTCAGCTGATCTTGTTTAGTTTAGCAAAGCAGTGCTGGCTGAAGGGATGAGCTACATTTAAAAAACTTTGTCAAAACTGTCCGAAACTGCTTCGCTAAACAACGCCGTCATCAGGGCCGCAGTGCACACGGACTAGCTCGGAGGTTTTAGCTTTTTCTCCGCACTTTAGCCTCTCGTCCACATGAAAACAGCTTTAGCTCAGTGAGATGTGTGATATGTGATACATGATATGTGTTTTATAAATTAAAGAAGAATAATTATTGTATCTTTAATTTGTTGAATGAAACATTATTGCCAGTATCTGCAAGATTTTGGTTCCCAACTCATCAGTTAATCAAGTCATCTTTAGGATTTCTGTTCCCAACTAATCGATTAATCAAAGTCATAATGAGCCAACTAATCAGTTATGAATTATAGCAGGTAGTTGCAGCCCTAATAAATATTGTAGCGCAGGGGTGCACAGCTCTGGTCCTAGACTCTGGTACCTACTCAGACACACCTGATTGCATTTATCTGTAAATTGGCAGGGAAACCTTTGTAGGGAAACCTCCAAACTGTGCTGGGCACCGGCCCTCCAGGACCGGGTTGTGCACCCCTGTTGTAGCGTCAGCGCAGGAGAAGACTGCGCATTCAAAAAAGATTCTGAATCGATTCACAACATGTGATAATCAGGTTCGCTGATGTTTCCGACTTCATAAAGGAGGATACTTTGGTCCAGCCTAGCTTGGAGGGGGAAAGTGCAGGATGTTACTAATATACACACAGTTCTAAAATTTCCTGAAAACATTGTAAACGTTCCCTACATAAGAACCAGCTTACAGGCTACTCTCGTAGTATTCAAACTTAGGTTTTAAACAAGGGTTTCCCAGAGTGTGACCACCTGAGGAAAATTCTCAGCACTTTCCTTACAGCAAGTGTTCAGATGAGTTGTAAAGTCATAAAAATATAACACGTCATGGTCTCCCACAGACGTCTATGACTGAATTCCAGAATTCACTATAACAACGGAAAACACCTCGGTTTCTTTTCTGTGAAGCACACGGACTGGACATGGCTTGGAACCTCATTTGAAGGGGTTGTGTTGCAGTCTGAAGTTTCCCCAGTAGGAGAATCTATTAGCACTCAAGTCACTTTACTGTGCATGATTTAAAGAGAAGAAACAGCCACGAATGTACAGGTTGCAGTCACAAAACATGTTTAAAATCACATCTTGGCACCCTGAAGCAAAATCGAATCAAATTTTGAGGATCCTACAGAGTTTTTTGCTTCTATTATCTACTGTACTGTGCAAAATTCAGAGACCGTCCTTTTCCAGTCAAAATTATTTAATTCATCCACTCTTTTATGCATCCACTTTAAATCTTTCATCCTTCCAGTCTTAAAAGCATTTACAGCTGAGTCCTCTCAACAAAAGCTCTTCCCAAAGCAGGCAGTGACATCATGCTCCCCTTTAAAGACACACTCATATTCACACAAGCAACTACGCAAACTCACCTTAGCTGCCTGACAAATGTTTTTCTTGTGTTCTACTAAAATGGCTAAAAGAGATATTTACGAGATTAGAGGTAAGACAGTCCACTTGTATTAGGAAGGAGAAAGTTAAAGGCCTTGTTCAGACTGCCAGCCCAAACCCAAGTGTTGGCATATCCAGATTGTATCCAGATTGATTTTGATAGTCTGCACAGCAAAAAAAACCACATGGAATATACGATTTTTGCCAATTTGAAGGTGGTTTGAAATGCGATTTGAATATGATTGTTTACAGATGCGTCTCAATCTGGATGCTCTGGCTGCTCAAATTGGATTTCAAATTGCCTTTTGTGTCACTTGCAATGCGACAAACAATGAAAATATCAGATCCAGAGTGACAAAACAGTGCCAAAGATTCAAGCTTATGCCAACAATGTGCAAGATCTGGTAGACCACCAAAACATTCCCCACCAGATAAACAGCACTTAAAGCTTTCATCTTTGAGAGAGAGGAGAAAATCAAGCTGCTTCAGATCTGAAAACATCCACAGGTGTTTCTGTCTATCGTTCCACTGTGAGAAGACAACTCAGCGCTATGGGTCTGAAAGGATGTGTAGCTGTCAAGAAGATTTATATCCTGAGAAGCAGAAAATGCAACCAAATTCTAAGACTAAACTTTGCAGTAGTAGAAAAATATTCCTCCATTTTTCTTCCAAAAAACTGAAAGCAAGTCTCCCAAAAAGAATTCAAGTTCTAATAAAGGCAAAGCGTGGAAACACTAAATACTAAAAAATATTATGTTTAGTTGTTAAGTTGAAATTTTCATTAAATATATGTTTCCTGCTTTTTCCCCCTGACACTAAAAGGTTAAATATTTAATTAAGAACATTTAAAGGCTGTTTTGACGGGCCTCTGACTTTTGCACATTACAGTCTGTGTGAAACGGTTTCCTGCTGTGTATGTTTATCTCACTGTGGCCACACCCATGAGTTTTATCTTGCAAACTCACCTGCGTCAGAGTGTTCAAAAGAGCCACTAAATCTCTCTCACACATGAACAAACACCCAGAAGTGCTTGTTTTCTCTTCATTCATAAAGTCTCCTTCAGGCTAAATATACTTAGATAACTCTCGAGTCTCTGTCGTACCTCTAGGGTTGGTTTACTTCATCACTGAAAACAGCATTCCACAGTCTGAATGTCTTCAGCTAGAGCGAGTTTAAAGAATCTCTGCGCCAGTAGGGATGCAGCTTTGAACCTGTCAGCTGTCTTCACGTTGACCAAGTTTAAAAGTGTCTAGCCAGCTTGACTGTTTCAAGTCCAACAATCACAATATGTAGGATAATCTTTCCCAAATGTTTAAAAACATGGAGAAATGTGTCCATTATAAACATGCCGAAATTAAGAGCAAATTTGATTTATTGGGCTTAGTTAAAACGGAACTCTGTGGAAAAAGAAAATGAGATGCACACAAAGTTATTCAGTGTTTTGATGTGAAATGCTTCAATATAGAGACACTTACCAACTCAAGGTTTCCTCATGGTGGTAGTGAAAAACCAGGGGTCACAACACAAATACAGTTTTATTTACCATCCAAAAACCACCAGTGAACCTGTATGTTTTATATGTAATGTTGATGATGATTAAATAGTGTTATATCTGAAAATTTTGGGACTATTTTGAGTTGCATGCCAAAATCATATCTATCATAGAGGAACATTTAAGCCTTCAGGCAGCATATTCATAATCATTTCATGTGATAACTTTCTATAAGGGAGTCTTTAGAGGCATTAAACTTTTCAGACATCTGGTTCCGCTGTTCACCACCGCTGTGAACAATGCTGACTCCATAAGTTTCTCCAGAACTAAGCATTTCACATCAAACCACTCTGACTTTACATCCTAAGGCCAATTAGATTATTCAGAAATGTTGAAAAATCAATGGAATTTCCCTTTATATCCAACAATTACGCTTAGTTAGGTGGTCTTCCCTGAATGCTCAAGAAATGTTTATAAATCCTACGAGAAATAAAAAGGTATACAGTGATTAGTTGATTTTATTGCAAATGTATGAGCTTTTTGTAGCTGTGCAGGTTAACAGATTGCATTTCTTCCCAGCCATATGTTGTTATTATATAGCTCACTAGTCTTTCAGCCCCTAGAAGCAATAAAGAGAACAGAACTCAACAAACGTGCATATTTCTGCAACATTTCTGGAACGTCTGAAATCTAGAAAGCCCTGGTCTTTGAGGAACTGTGGCTCCGCCTGTATGGCTCTATCAGAGTGGAGGTATTTTCTCCTTGGCATGTTGGTGCTTGCTGCAGGGAGCCGCCTCTGTCTGGCCTTGCAGCCATCACTGCTGTATTAAGCTAAACTCTGTGATCCATCTCAATCACTGCCATGGAGTGAATAACATGACCAAACTCATTTACTGGCAAAGACTAAACTGCATAATTCAGCTCACAGTTGCATAAGCTGGGCCCATGAAACTCTGACACTGCCAGAAAAGGAACTCCTCAATCAATCAATTCCATAAATTTAACCCAACTCGCCAATATGCTCTCCCTCTCAATCATTACCATAAACTCCATTCAGTGATCCAACTAATTCACTTTTGTAATCGAATCGAATTAGCCAATTAAAAATCAGTACTAACTCATACGCTACATAACCAAACTCAGTCACTATCATATGCTAAACTAAGTTATATGATCTACCGGACATCCACTGTATGCTAATTTACATCATCACTTTTATATGCTAAACTAAGTTGCTTAATCTAACTGTTGCTGCTCTAATCTACACCATGGGTGCCAAAACTTTTTGACTTGCAATGTCTGAGGTCGGTTTAGGGTCTAAAAGACAATACACAAATAAAGAAAGTAGGTTTTAAATTAAGTTTTTAAATAGATTTTAATGTATTGTATAACATTATACTTTATTTTGTTGCATTCTACGGCCCAACTCACAACTACTGCCTAAACGGAAAATTATTTGATGCGTAATCACTGCTATGACCAAACTCAGTCACTGAAATGTGCTAAACTAACTTCAACGACTCATCTCACAATCACTACTCTAAATTCTGTGGCCCAGCTCATAACTACTGCCTAAACTAATGACTCAACACATAATCATTGCTATAAAAAAACAGTCAATGAAACATGCTATACTATACTACACTGCATAATCCCCCTTACAGTCACTACTAGAGTGTGATCTATACTCCACGGCCCAACTCATAACTAAACTTATGACTCAACACATGATAACTGCTGTAGCCTAATCCAGACTCTATGGCCCAACTCATAACTACTGCTTAAACTAATGACTTAACTCATCATAACTGCTGTAACCAAACTGTCACTGAAACATGCTACATTCATTTGCATGACCCAGTTACAGTCTCTACTAGAGCCTAAACCAGACTCTATGCCCCAACTCATAACTACTGCTTGAACTAATGACTCAACACCTGATAACCGTTGTAGCCAAACCCAGTCACTGAAATATGCTATGCTAAGTTACAAACCCCAACTCATAATCACTACAAGAGTGCAATCTATACTTTTTGGCCCAACTCATAACTAAACTTATAACTCAACACATGGTAACTGCTGTAACCAAACTCAGTTACTGAAATATGCTATATTAAATTACATGAACCAACTCACAATCACTACAAAAGTGTGATCTATACTTTTTGGCCCAACTCATAATTAAACTTCTGACTCAACGCATGGTAACTGCTGCAACCAAACTCAGTCACTGAAATATGCTATACTAAATTCAATGACTCAACTCACAATCACTACTAGAGTGTAACCTATACTTTCTGGCCTGACTCATAACTAAACTTATGACTCGATGTATGATCATAGCTGTAACCAAACTCAGTCACTGACATATGCTATATTAATTTGGATGACCCAATTGCAATCACTTCTATAGTCTTATCCAGCCTCTGTGGCCCAACTCATAACTACTGCTTGAATTAATGACTTAACAATTATAACTGCCGTAACCAAACATAGTCACTTAAATATGCTAAAGTAAACTGCATGAACTCACAATCACTACTATAGTGTAATATACTCCATGGCCCAATTTATGGCTCGACATATGACTGCTATAAGCAAATATAGTCACTAAAATATACTAAACTAAACAACATGACCCAACTCACAATCACTACTATAGTGTAATCTATACTCTATGGCCCGATTCATAACTAAACGTATGATTTAACTGCTGCAACCAAACTCAGTCACTAAAATATGCTATGCTAAATTACATGACCCAACTCACAATTACTAGTATTGCGTAACCTTTACTCTATGGCCCAACTCATAACTAAATTTATGATTTAACACTTGATAACTGCTGTAACCAAACTCTTTCACTGAAATATGCGACACTAAATTACATGGATCAACTCACATTTACTACTATAGACCAGTCCAGACTCTTTGGCCCAACTCATAATCACTATTTTCACTATTTTTAAGTCCATCATGCTTCACATCACAATCACTGCTATCATCTAAACTCCATGACCAAACTCAGCATCAGTGCTATAATCTTAACCCGTAATCACTGCTCTGATCTCCTCACCTGGAGCTCCACAGTCGGCGCATGTATGGTTTCCGGGCCGTTTGAGGATTTCTTTCAGAGCCCTGGCAGCTCTCTCGTTCACAGCCATGCTCCAAAGTCTCCAAAGTGTCCTTACAGCACCTGGGAGGACACGCAGCTCCTGACCGCTCCTGACCACGCGTTTAGAGGTGAAGAGAACACCTTAAATCCCCTCAGCGTCCAAGAACGGGCTAATCCTAGCAGTTTAACTAAGTCTTCTAAGCACACCGCGTGAAAAGTCGCTCGGATAGGCAGGTCTGCAGGTAAGCGCAGGGGAGCGGAGAGAGGGAGGGGGATAGAGGAGGGTAGGGAGCGTATGGAGCGGCTCAAACACTCTCGGAAGTGTAGAGGGGAGTGTTTAGCGAGGCTCAAACACTCGGAAGTGAGAAGCGGGTTTTGTTCTGACTTGCTGTTCCTCATAAACGCGGCGCCATCAGGCCCGGCAGTAGCGCAGGAGCCCTTCTGTAGTATCATCACAGTGTGGGATTTAGCTGCTTACATGTAACACCGTGTATTGACATACTTGAGAAAGATGAACGACTAACTGCTTAAGAACTTCCACACTGTTACATCAGAATATATTAAAGTGAAAAAAAATAATAACTCATCCTTGTTAATTATTAATGATATTTAGTTTAGTTACGTGCTGGAGACCAAAATGTAACCAAAATATTTGGTTAATTCTGAGCGTTTTCTTAAAGGTACATAATGAGCGGTACTGTATTTGTCGCTATATGAACACTAGGGGGCAGCAAATTATCATGGGACTACTGATCACTGATTTCTGCGGTTTAACAGAGTTTTATATGAATAATATCAAAGATAGATAGATAGATAGATAGATAGATAAACTTTTACAGGGGAATTCCACCAATTTTTCAAAGTTTCTGAATAATTCAGTTCTTGGGTTGTAAACAAAATCATTCGGAGTGGTTTGACGTGAAATGGTTCATTTTAGAGAAACTTACAGACTCTGATTTCTTTACAGTGGTGCTGATAGGAACCAGAGTGATGTCTACTACACAAATATAGCCATTTTATTTACTATCCAGAACCACCAGCGAACCTACACGTGTCTTCTGAGTTTTGATATGGAATGTCGATGGTGGTAAAACAGTCATAAATCTGAAAAAAAAAAGTTTTCTTTGGGGACTATTTTGCCTTACAATGCCTTGCGTGTGCCCTTCCACCATTAAAATGAATATATTATAATATGTTTTAAGCCAAAACTTCATCACAAAACTATCGTAAAACGTTGTTTCATCAGACATCAGGCCACGTATTCATGACCATTTCATGTAATAACTCTCTGAGAGGAAACTTTTAGAGGCATTAAACTCTTCAGGTGTCTGGTTCCTATCACCACCACTGTGAAGAATTCCTCTAGAACAGAGCGTTTTACACCAAACCACTCCGAATGACTCTGTTCATATTCAACCATTTAATTATGTAGAATTTCCCCTGCAAGCCTAAAACAAAAAGTGATGAGATTAGCCCCTCATTCATGGTGGGCATGCCTATGAAGTCTCTTTATGGCAGGGGTGCCAAAACTTTTTGTTGTGGGGGGCCAAAATGAAATGTTTGTGGTGGTCTGAGGGCCAAAAAGGCAACACAATATACATATTTTATAACATTCAATTACCGCTTCCTCACAAGTACAATTTTGTGAGACAAATGACAAACTAATAAGCTGTAGAAATATTATTATAGGAATATGTTTTTTTCTTTCAGTTAGTGTTAGCGTGATGGTTATGGTAACTTTCTGGTGGCCTAAATCAAACATTCTCACAGGCCAGCATTGACCCATGTGCTACACTTTGGGCAGCCTTAGGCTGAAGGCAGGCCAGCTATACTATTGCTGGCCTCCTGAACTGAGGATATTCATGAGCTTGGTGAGCTCATCGTGTTACTGAAGGGTTGGATTGGTGAAATAATGTGATCTAAACAAATTTACCCTGGATTTATGTGTAAATATCTCTAGGCACAGTCTGGAACAACTCCCAAATTTTGGGCTACACGCACACACACACACAGAGGGAGGTAGCTGTTTATTGAAAATGTTAGGCAGCTGATGTCAGATAAATAAGATGAATCGCTCTTATTTAACACCTGAGCGGGCAAATGAGGCCTGACACCACTCAGCACATTTGTCGTTTCGACTGCAGCAGTGTTTCTCTTACTGCTTCATCTTTGAGGCCCCTGTAGGTCAAAACCAGACATTCATATGTAACTTGGGGGAAGAAGCCCCCCAGGGCAACACCATGCTCCATCTTATTTTCTGTCCTGATCAATCAAGTCTCAACACATTTACTGGGTGGCTGTGATCTAATTAATTCTGAAATTTCATCTGGATCACTGAGTTCCTGGGATTTATTGTCCACATTAACATAAAACATTGTTTTGGGGTCAGTGCTCTCATTTTTTGTCATTGGATAATAGTGAATAGTGTTTATATTACATCCCATGGAAATTGTTTTCTCAATTATATGATAATGGGGACGGTGGCTGGAGATAGCTGGACTGGCTTTAAGAGAAAGGGCAAATTACAGTACAGTAAACTTCTTTAGTGAGGGAAAAGTACAGTTAGATGTTTGGGGTTAGAAGTCTTCCCAGACATATCACCCCAAAATAGTGTTAAGTTCCATTTTCATTACAAAGACATAAAGACGTATTAAATGCTAGCAAATACAATCATTAGCTTAATCACTTTGAACCATCTTGCTGCAGGTGAGATTTTAGTTTTGCAGCTCAATAGACTTTCATTCATGGCACTGACTAATAAAAATTTCCACCAATTTTTCATAAAAATATCCATAAGACAATCGTTAAGATGTAAACAGTCACTCAGAGTGGTTTGGTGTGAAATGCTCTGGTTTAAACTTACCAAGTCAGAATTGTTCACAGTGGTGGTCATAGGAACCAGACGTCTGAAGAGTCTGCATCTCGGAATGCTAATACATGAAATGGTTACAGATACGCTGCCTGATGCTGGAGACATTGTGTTATGAAGGTTTCAGACTACGATGTATTTATTTAAAATCCATTCATGTCACAGGTTCAGGTATAGATGCATGCAAAAGTTTGGGTGCCCCAGATCAAATTACATATTTTGTTGATTTTCCAAGTGAAAATAAGTTAATGTTTTCTACACATTTGGTGCATAATTACTGTTTATTTGCTAAATTTAATGTACTAAAATGTACTGAAATGTGCAGAAAAATGCCATATTTAAGTGTGTTCTCTGTAGAAGATGTGCTATTTTTACATAGAAAATCAATAAAACATAATCTGGCTGAAAGTATTCACACTTCGCAGGTGTTGTGAGGCAAAATAGTCCTTTTTTTTATTTTATTTATTATTTTTTTTTTAAATCAGATTTACCGCTATTGCTATTATCATCATTACATGAAAAATGCCTGTAGGTTCACTGTTGGTTTGTAAGAGTTGATAAAATGTCTATATCTGTGCTGCAGACATTGTGACCCCTGGTTCCCATCACCACCACTGTAAAGAAATCAGAGTCTATAAGTTTCTCCACAGTGAACCACTTCACATCAAACCACTCTGGATGCCTGTTCACATCTCAGCCATTGAATTATGCATAAATTTTGAGAAATCTGTGAAATTCCCCTTTACATGTTGAATGCTATTGGTTTGTTTAAATTATAGCAACAACAACAATAACAACAACAAAGCAACGACAACAATAAAACAAACAATGACAATAATTTTCTTTGTCCATGCATAATTAAAATGATTATAATGACTGTTTAATTAATGAACAACACTGACATTTTAAATATTTCAGTTGTGCTGTCATTTTTTTTTTGTCATATCTTATTACAATTGTGTAATAACATATGCATTTATAGATGTTAACACAACTTAATCCTCCTTCGTACTGTATGCCTCTACAGTGGACTCTGTCCTTAAAGGAGCCATTTGCTCCCATTTCCTTCAACATCATTTTCCAGTGAGAAAAATACATCAACACAATTCTGTCTTGCAGTTTTACTTACTTACTGGCACTAATTGTGTGGCTGTAATATATTTTATTAATGTGGAAATTATGTTCTAGGACCTGCTGGAGGGATCATATCTCCAAGTATGCCTGGAAGCGGCTCGGGGTCCCCCAGAATGAGCTGGAGGAAGTTGCGGGGGACAGGGTCATCTAGAATACCCTGCTTTCCCTGCTGCTACTGCGATCCAAGCTGGACCAAGTGGTTTAAGATGATGATGATGATGATGATGAAATTTTGTACACATTTAAATAGCAAAAAGTAAATTCAATGCATTAAGATTGGTCATGAAGTCATTAATCTCTCCAGTCACTGTGCATCATCTGGTTCTCCTCAGAAGTGACCAAACCATGAGCCATATGCTAATTTGTATTACAGTAGACCGCATATAGACCAATCAGTGGCGTTTGGTCCTGTGGAGATCAGAACTACACCGGATGGATGCCGAAGACCCGGTTACTGTCTCCATAGCAACTCCTAGAGATGCAGCCTCCCTTCACACATCCAGCCACCCTCCACGAGGAAGCAAAACGAGAACAATTCTCTAGTGCAATTATTTGTGCCCCCTACCTATGTGATAAGCAACGAGGAGAACTGGGGGGATACGGCTCTTTCACTGCGTGTATGTGTGTGTGTGAGAGAGAGTGAGCGAGAGAGCCCAGTAATGCCACTGGCCATTGTTTAACGCCAGCCAAGAGGAGTTGATACTGAGTGACTGAAATGAAGTGAATGAACAAATAAATAATGAAATGCGCACGTAAGCTCCGCGCATCATTTATATGCAAATAGACGGTGACATTTTAAAGCTCAGTAGCCATGGCAGATATATAATAGCACTTAGGTTGGCCATTAGTGGAAATGGCCTTTTAAGATGCTTGTGCCACATCACATATGCTATCTTCTATGCTTGACTTCCATTCCGTTCTGGCAAAATTTGCAGAAAATTGTATTTAACACATTTCAAAATGGACAGTTACTCTTCTGTTATTCTTTCTGTCTTATATTTTGGCTGCAACTCCTTGTTTTTAAAGTTTTGATTGTAAACTAAAAT